TGAATTATAGATGATTGATAAACACAGCTACAGTTTAGCAATTAACAGAGGTCAAAGGCAACCATGTGACTGTGCACCTGTTTAAAACTCAAAGGTCTGTATTATTTTTTATATATGAATTTAAAGCATTCTAGTTAATAGGAATATGGACAGAATGTCTTCAAATGTCCTATTTGGTCGTCCAAAACCCAAAGACATACAGTTTACAATGAAAAGTAGCAAATCCTTTCATCAGAGAAGCTGCAGCCAGAGAGATGTTGGCATTTTTGCTTGAAGAATTACATCATCTCTTATTAATATAGTTGCCGGTTTGATTTTCTGTCGCTCAACTAATCGATTAATTGACTAATTGTGAAAGTCCATACTAAAAATTTGAATAATAATACATCTTCAGCTATCTAAGATATCACAATGAGTTGACTTACTCATTCACACTTCTTGACATATGAGAAACTTGTTAGAATACTATTATATAAAGAGATGTAAAGAGACACTCATACATGGGGCTGAATTAAACATATGCAAAAATGTATTAAAATTTGGATGTCAAAAGGCCTGTGGTAGGTTGAGATGATGAATGCAGCAATTAGATGTTTATCCACACCAGTTCACTCTGTGTTCGGAGGTTTAATAATAGTTTTGGTACTTGCTGCTGTAATTATAGGTTATGAATACATTTTTACATTTCTGTAGCTTTTCTGTCATAACAAGGTTCATTACATTGAATGCAGCGAGCTCTGCCCCCACTAGTATTCCTGTCATCCAAGTTCCTAAAGCTTAATTTGGATATCTTGTCAAGGCCAAAATATATGCTTTCGTTAAGCACTTTACAATCCTCTCAAGTGCAGACTAATTTAATCAAATCAGACACGATGCCTTGTTAAAATGTAGCTGTCGTAGGACCATGATGTTGCCACACTACCTTGTCAGTTAGACAATTCTGACCCTCCTTAGTAACATCCCTGTCGCACTGAGACAGGCGGTAAATTCTGGTTGATTCTTTCATCATAGGACGTTAACACTCAGGTGTCTCCAGGTGCAATGACACAGGTTTTTTGTGTTTGCTGAGTTAATATGAACACTTCTTAAAATGAAAGTCATGGAACTTTATTGAATATCAACAGCTGATAACAGCACTGGAACACCTTAAGGAGAGTTACACATAACGTATTAACAGGACACACTGATGTGTTCCTTTTTGGAGACAGCGCTGCACACCGATCGCTAAGTTAACCAGTGGCCAGTCTCCTTCCCCTCCGTGTCTGCCGGGGCAGCCTATCAGAGCCGAGGAACTGGTAGGCATGCAGCTCTGTGGGTGGAGTGAAGATGACGATATTATGAAGGTGGTGCTCTAAACTAGGCCGACAACACCGGAAAGTTGGGATGATGTTTCCTCAGCCATTTCCCTCTCACAATCAGTCTCAATTTAAAAAAAGAAAGAAAGAAAAGAAAACTGATTTACTGTCAACTAATAATTGAATCCAGGACTCAGGTTCAAATCTGACCGGGCCAGCAGACTGTGTTTGTTTTTGTTTTGTTTATTTGTTTGTTGGGTTTACATCCATGTTTGTGTGACTCCAAAAACATGCAGGTTGGAGACTCTAAATGTGAATTTGAGTTAATCATTTCATGTGTCTTCAAGTATTAGTCCTTTGATAGACTGGCTACCTGTCTAGGATGTACCCTACCTGTAGCCCAGTGCCTGCTGGGATGGGGCCCCTGCAACCTTGAACACCACAACCTGGACTAGTAAAATACATCAAATCCTAGAAAACAGTGTGCTTTATTAAGTGTTATGTTGCACGTTTCTGCAGATAGCAGCTACATTATATATGTAAATGTATGAATGATAAATGTATTTGATGACTTGCTAAAGCTGTTTTCCAGTATGTTTGGATGCTGTGTACACAATATGTGACACCTAGTCTCTTTAAGAGTGTGCACAAGCAGTCCAGTGTGTTTTACTCTACAGTAAATTAGCTGACAGTCCTTAGTGGTGTGTGTGAAACATATCCTGGATCATCTACAGTCCATCAGTGTTTTGTTCTGGCTCTGCAGTACATTAAATCAATCAAGCAATGACTGACTTGCAGCTTTAACATGCTGTTAAAAATTACTCACGAATGATGTTTTTCTGGAGTTTTGTGTTTTGCTTGACACACCACTGTTGCATGTGTTTTTTTTTTTTTCTTCAATGTCATGATGTTTCCTTATTGTCCCTCTTAATCCTCGCTCACGTGCCTTCTCCTGCCCCTGTGTATTTCCAGGTGGACTGGGTGCAGTGCGACGGCGGCTGCGACGAGTGGTTCCACCAGGTGTGCGTTGGCGTGTCATGCGAAATGGCCGAGAACGAAGACTACATCTGCATGGACTGCTCCCGGAAGGCTGCCGGGGTGAGCGGGGGAGGAGGCGGAGGGTTGACCGTGGAGGAGGTGGCAGAGGAGAGCATCGTAGTGCTGGCGACGTCGATGTGCAGCGGCGGCGGCGTCCAGAGTCTGCCGTCGTCGGCTGTCGTGGCGTCGTGGTCTCACACGGCCCCCGCCTCTCATCTAAATCCAGGAACTTCACATCCGCAACAGCAACAGCAACAGCAGCAGCAGCAGCAGCAGCAGCAGCAGCAAGAGCCTCAACAGGGCAGTTAGCATACAGAAACAGCCTAGGACTGAGTTTGATTACTGTACCTCACACAATGAGCAAAAACCTAGTATCCAGGCTAGTGTTTCAACCTCTCACCCAGACTGTACAGCATCTGAGGGTCAGAACAGGCCTTTATGAGTGAGCTTGGAAGAAGAAGGACAAACCAGAGGCACTTCTGTTACTGCCTGGATCATAGAGCACAAGGAGAAAAAAAACCCAACTTGCATCTGGAAAGCAGAGAGGAGGCCTGCCGTCACCATGTGGCTCCAGCAATGACATGCTCTCTCTCAGAGCTCTGTTGAAAAGGCAAAAAGACAAAGACTTAGTCCTCCTACAACAGTTTTAGGCCTAGAAAACATCCACCAGCTATTTCCCGGTCCTCCTCTGAACAATAACAAGTCATCGGTACACTTGCTTAACAGTCAAACAGAAACCCACTTACTCCAGCTGTTGTATTCAGTGCAAAACAGGCAAATGAACAGATGTGTTCCCCAGTTGTGTTGTACTGGACATCCTGAACCGCTCCCCTCTGCCCTCCGCCTGGCTCTCCAGACAGTAACATCTCAATGTGTAGGACTCCAGACTAGGAAACAAATGGTTGTAATGTAGTAGAATTATTTATAATGTACATACTTTTAAGCAATTAAAAAAAAATGGATTGTGGCTTTTTTGGTTTTGTTTTCTCACCTTTAATAAACTATTCCTAGTCAAATGATTGATAATTGTGATGTTTTTTTTTTTCTTTGTGTTAATTTACTTTTTTTTGTTTAAGGAATTAAAAATGGCACACACTTCATTTTCTGTGTTGTCTCTGAGTGGACAGAACCACAAAAAATCTAGAAAACTAAACATAGCTAAGTGCAAGAGTGTTTTTTGTCCTTCACACGGCTGAAGTGTCAGAATTTGACCCACCAATCACCCTGAGGTCTCCACAGTGACTTATGACCGTGTCATTGAGAGGTTGATTGATTTCAAGTGGCAAGTTAAGCTTCACATTTCCTGTGGTACTCATTAAGCTCAATTAGAGGAGACATGTGGAAGCATGCTGTGGAGCACTTTTATGAGGTCTTGCATGCTGAATCCTATGTTACATGTGTTTTTTTTCCCACTCTGCTTCAAGCATGGAACATTTTTCTCACAATATGTATAAGTTTTTCCTTGTTCAGTTTTTTTTTCTTCCACTTGTGGCTGACCCTAACTTTTTCAACATGGCGCCTCAGTGGAAAAGAGAAAATAATTCTGTTGATCTTACACATGAATATCTGAATTTGCAGAAAAAAAGAGGAGGGAAGAATTGTGGGTGGGGGCTTGGGCAGGGGGGGTGTGCTGATGTCCACTTCTAACTCTGCCAGGTCAAATCCGGTGTGAACTGACCTCAGCTGCTTTTGTGACTCACCTCTGTCACCGCTCTGACCGGGAGAGTTAGAAATATGCGATCAGAGGGGGGTCTGCGAGGCATCAACGAAATGAACTGTAATGGCACATAATAGATTACATAACGTCTGCTCCCTCACCTCACGCCATTACATCTTCATCGCCCGCTGGTTGTTGTGTCGACTCGAGTGAAATTCATGACTTGGTGTCTTAATGGTTACAAAAACGTTTCATAATCATCGCTTTATAGCAGATACAGAACTGCTTATAGTTAGTGTAAAATTTCTTTCTGATTTGACAACACAAGAAACACATACACACACACACACACACACACACTGTTTATGGCTTCCGCTCTCCCTCCATCTCTCAGCTCCATACTGTTGTGTAGATCGGCAAGACCTAGTGCAGATGTATTTCTGGTCAGACTGATAGTTTATCCTTTCGCAAGATGGTAGATTTGTTTATACAGTCTGATCCGGTAAACCCCTATGGTTCTCACAAATTCTCTGTGATCATTCTGTATAATGTGATCTGCTCCTTACATCAAATAGCCTGAGTTAACACTTGCATTTCTGATATATTTCAACTGGGAACTTTACCTCAGATATGAAAATGGGATGTACTGCATTGCAGAAAGGAAATACATGGAACCCAAAATCAAAACCTCATAATTAGGGTGCTTCTCCTTGATAAGAACATGTATATATTTGCTTTTTTTTTTCAAGAATTTCCTAAAAGTGCACAATGGGAGACATAATTACACAATTTAAACATCTTTAAACACCTTTTCCACAGCAGAGGTGGTCCACTGCAGCAGTAATGCTATACTGATCATCCCATTGGGCTCTCCTGTTGCACCTTATTTTAACTGTAGAGTTATGGCAGGTGATGTACTTTGCTCCGAAGAGGGCAGACAAAAAGGAAAGGAACGTGGAGGCCGGCCTAAGTTTAGCATTACAAACCCCCGCCCCTCGCTCTGGTCATGTTAAATACTAAAACTTGAGCATTTTACAGACAAATCTCCAGAGACTGCTTCAAGCCTTTGACAAGAGAGTTACACACAGAAGATCGAGTGGCACTGCGATGAAAGGTAAGATATGAATGTTGGTAATTTGGCAAGCTGAGTAGCTGGAGATTATTACTGCAGTTTTGATGGATTTTTGTTTAAAGCAAAGATAAGGATTGCGTTGCACTTGAATGAAATTGGTACAATGTATAGAAAAACTATTTTGTGTGTGTTTTCAGGTACATCTGCAAGAGATAAAAAGGACTGAACATGCATGCTATTTTTTTATTGATACATTTTTGCACATTCAGATCTTATGTGCATAGTAAAGCTACTTTGTTCCACTGCCCCCCACTCTGCAGCTGCAACTGTTTAGTGTCTTTGCTACCTTGCTTAAGGGCATCTTGGCAGCTAATTGAGGGGGGGAAAACTCATCTCAAATTCATGCAACAAGCAACACCAACCAGCTTCTATAACCTGCTGCAATCCTGCTCTCCTCTCTGTCTGTCCTGTAGAAGACGCTGCCAAAGCAGGCCTCCACAATGGCACCAGCCAAGCCAAGGACCTGCTTCCCCCCTCGGAGGAGAAGATGGAGGAGCGGGGCCAGTGGAGCAACAAGATAGAATTTATTCTGTCGGTTGCAGGCTCCATCATCGGCCTGGGCAACATGTGGCGCTTCCCTTACCTCTGCTACAAGAACGGAGGAGGTGAGTGGAAGATGAGTAGAGTGGATGGAGAAAGGGGTTAATTTATGGTCCTTTCCTCTGCAGTTTTCTATAAATTCATAAATGGATGTCAGCATTGACAGAAGGCATACCCAAAAAGTAAAAACACCAAGATTTGCTTATGGAGTATACATAGTTTACTTCTTTATTTAGACTCACTTGGAAAGAAATACTATCATATATATTGAAAGACTCACAATTAACTAAAATCAGACTCCAGAGACTGTTTGTTTTTGGACATGCTTGTGTAGCTGCTAAATTGGACACCCCTCATTCTCCCTCCACGGGGTGGCAGGGTCAGGGTTCAGGACTGATCAGGGTCAGGCAGCTGTTGTTGCTCCTTGCTCACAGCAGCTGTCCCTGCGGAGAGGCGGAAATATGAGCACGCCAAACATCCTCGGCCACCCGGCAGGACGTCAAACACAAAGGCGAAAGAGAGTGGCAGTAGGCACCTAAAGAAAGAAACACAACTTTTCTTCATGTCTTCTTGAAGCATTTCATGCTTTAAGATTTATGCTACAACTTCACACAAATTCAGTTTATATTCAGGCATGTATTCCCCTATACAGTCAGTAAAATTATTAATTATTGTACATTGACCTTACATCATTCCTAAAATTGTGCATGGCTTACTTTTATGTTTTAGGTTTCTTCAAATAGTTTAATCTGGTTGGAATCACAATAATTTAAAGGCAATCTGGTGTGAACGGAGCAACATATTAAGTTTGAGACAGAAGAAAGCAAGCCTGTAATAGGTAATACATAATAAGTAATAAGTAATCCAAGGAAGGGAGAGAGGAAGAGGGACAGGTGAAAGAGAGGGAGACAGAATCTACTTTCTCCATGAATCATTGTGATGTCATAGATGTATCTTTTGTAGTCCTGACGATGACTTTAAACTGGGGGATTGACAGTTTTGTATCTTTTTGCAGAATACTCACACGCACAGGGGACTCAACATAGCACCATTTGTCCATATATGAGCAGGACTGTAACTGTTGGAGCTGCACTCTGCATTTGGGTCCACATTTCTCGCAGAGCAAAAAGTCCCTGGGCTGTGTTAAGATTTTAGCTCTGACCCCATGTCCTCACCGGTTTCCACTAGATGTGTTGATCCTTTACTCTTTCTCAACTCAGGTGCATTCCTCATCCCCTACCTGATCTTCCTCTTCACCTGTGGCGTTCCTGTCTTCTTCCTGGAGACTGCTCTGGGCCAGTACACCAGCGAGGGGGGCATTACATGCTGGAGAAAAATCAGTCCCTTGTTTGAAGGTAGGCAGGACAGGTGTATCACCCTCCACCACCCTCAAAGCTGATATGGGATCCTGGCAAAGCATGTAGCATTTGGCAAATCGTATAAAACCCTGAGTGCTCACTGAGGTGTTTTTTTTTTTTTTTGACATATTTTTTATTGTTTTCAGAATACAAGACTCACATATTTATACAAGTAGAACAAATCGAAAGGACATTTGACTTGAATAACATACAGTAGTAATATATGACTGCAAAATAAAGTATGATGGAAAGTGAGATGGAGTTTTGTAATGCAGGACAATGCTTTCACTGGTTTTGCTAATATGTTTTCAGTACTGTATACTGAAGTGTCATTTCTGCAGGTCTTGGCTATGGCACCCAGGTGATTGTGACTCTGTTGAACTTTTACTACATCATTGTTCTGGCCTGGGGGATTTTCTACCTGTCCTTTTCCTTCTCCTGGGACCTGGCCTGGTCATCCTGCAACAACTCATGGAACACAGGTAACAAATGTGCTTCCAAATGCATTAGAACTTCCACTAATGTTTTTGATACGTTTAAGAATTTCTACATTCCCCCCCCAGAAAACTGCGTGGAGTTTCAGAGGAGAAACACCTCAATCAACCAAACAATTAACCTAAACATCACTTCTCCTGTCATCGAGTTCTGGGAGTGAGTTCTTTAAAGCGCCTATACCCTCTTCTTGGTGATACATCACCGCTCTGAAGATGATGCATCATCTCTGTGTTTTCTGTCCTGTCTTTGCAGGAGAAGAGCGTTGAGGATTTCCCCAGGCATTGACCAGATGGGCTCTCTGAACTGGGACCTGGCCCTGTGCCTGTTCATCGCCTGGGTCATGTGCTACTTCTGCATCTGGAAGGGGGTGAAGTCCACGGGAAAGGTGGGTGAGAGGAACCTCTGTGAGGGCACAAGTGAAAGTACCAGGTGACCCTTTTTTTATCTATTTATTCTTGTTTGGCCAAAAGGGCACATTAAGGATGACATCTGGTGTTCACTTCTTTTTTTTGTTTCGTCTTTGCATTATTTAACATCTCTGCGTGTGTGTGTCTGTGTAGGTGGTCTACTTCACTGCGACCTTCCCCTATGTGATGCTCATTGTGCTGTTGATCAGAGGGCTCACCCTGCCTGGCGCTGGCATCGGCATCAAGTTCTACCTTTATCCAGACCTGGGACGACTGGCGGACCCCCAGGTACCAGGATGTCACACAAACCCCTTTAAATTTTATGAATCTATCATGGTGGTGTGATCACGCAAGAAATTCCCAATGAGGGCCTTTAGGCGATTTAGTGATGTGACCCCTGTGGGCGAGGGCGCACCAGATGCAGGTATCCCATGGTTCTCCGCTGGGGAGCCTAGTTTCTGCTGGGTCCATCTGCTCTCCATGAAAGAGGCAGGGGCCACAGGGATCAAAACAGGGCCAGGACACCACAGGGACTGTAAACACGAGCTCTACTAGGACAGTCAGCTAAGCAGGCTTTCCCCCTCTGGGATGACAATGGAGTTTTTAACTGGCTCTGTTGACTCAGACTAGCAGCGGTTCTGTCAGAAGATAACAGTCAGTGTCCCTTGGTTTACCGTTCATGTACCTTTCTTGTTGTTAAGGGCTGTTATTATTTGATCATTTTATTGTGCTGTAGTTGTGTACTAGTTTGCCATCCAACCAAATCAAACCCTGATTATTGCTTTCTCTACAATCCCTTCGCTATAGATTTTTTTTTGCATCTGATAAGGGATATAGTTTGACTAATTTTGCTATCCATCCCAGATCCTCCGCTCAGATATTTACGACTGCGTGGTTTGTTAATCAGTGTGGAGACAAACAAACCAATGGCAGACTTTACTGTTATGCAACCACAATAGTCAATGATTATGCATGCTAACACTCAGCACGTGAATTCCTCTTGATTGTCTAAACACTGCACATCACGTTTGTGTATATACATCAACCTAAGTATGTATATGTAATTCAGCATTGCTGTCTTTGGCTTATGACTATTTTTTTTTTCTTTTGTGTAAGGTCTGGATGGATGCTGGCACCCAGATCTTCTTCTCCTATGCCATCTGCTTAGGGGCGCTGACTGCTCTAGGGAGCTACAACAAATACAACAATAACTGCTACAGGTATGTTTGCAATCTATATTCATACTTAGACACTCAAATAAACAGGCACTTCCAAAGGAGTACATGTTTACATGGTCCAATATGAAAAAAAAGTCTCATTTTGAAAGAAAAATCCTAACTGCTGATTAAAAGCAGCCTCATCTTTGTCATCACGTGATTGGTGTGATCACCTGTGTGAAGCTTAATGGTGTCACTTCCATTGCAGAGACTGCCTGTCGCTGTGCTTTCTGAACAGCGGCACCAGTTTTGTGGCAGGCTTTGCAATCTTCTCCATCCTGGGTTTCATGTCTTACGAACAGAATGTTCCCATCTCAGAAGTGGCAGAATCGGGTGAGACTTCCATCATTCCTTAAGCCTCAAATGTATTCAAGAAAAAAAATTATAATCTCCTGATACCTCTTTAATCTGGTCAGAATTATATTTGATCAGTTGACATTGTTTTACTTGTGTCTGTAGGTCCGGGCTTGGCCTTCATAGCTTACCCCCGCGCTGTGTCCATGATGCCTTTCTCTCCTCTGTGGGCTGCCCTCTTCTTCATCATGATTGTGTTTCTGGGGCTTGACAGCCAGGTAGAGGGTTGATTAACACTCACACACACACATGTACACATACTTATTTCCACAAATACACTGATTACTAAAGAAATACAGTGTGATTGTGATGAACAGACATTTTAGAATAATTTGAAACGCCTGTTTTTTCTGATTTTGCATTGTTTGTTATTATGTTGATTTTAACTGGGCAAGCCCTGCTTTCATTATAGCTCACACACAAAGAGTTCCATTCATTTTTCTGTGCTTACCTCTCTCCCCTTTTTCTTTCCCTCATCTGCTATCAGTTTGTGTGTGTGGAGAGCCTTGTGACGGCGATTGTCGACATGTACCCTGCTGTGTTCCGACGTAAAAACCGCAGGGAGCTCTTCCTGTTAGGTGTTAGCCTTTTCTCCTTCTTCATGGGCCTCATCATGCTAATGGAGGTAGGAGGTCACACTCTGGGACCACACACACACACACACACACACACACACAAACACAAAGACAGACGCAAAAACTACACACACACAGATGCATGCACAGAGACAAAGATCTGCAAGCACACACTCGGGGGTTCACTGCAGTAGTTTAAAAATGACCATAATTTGTACACTTTGTATCTTTAAATCTTATCATCAAATGTGTTTCCCTCATTGTATTTTTCCTAACAGTGTCATTAAATGTCCATTGAAACTTGACACACACACACACACACACACACACACACACACACACACACACACACACACACACACACACACACACACACACACACAGGGGTTGCACCTGGTGGTTTTGATGCTTTGTTCTGCTGAAATAAACTTTTGCGGAGTCCAACATAGTTGACATGGTTTCACCTCTGCACAGCTGGAAACATGAATGCTCTGCAGAGGTGTCAACAAGTCATCATTTTGTAAGTACAAGCAAGTCAAAGGTTTTATGCATGTCTCAGGTGAGTCTCAAGTGTTGTTACTGCAACGCTAAAGTCACGCCTGAAGTGTCTAGTTTTGGCTTCAGCATTTCAAGTCTCTTTTATAAGCTGTGCATATTATCAACCATGTAGAATGTTTTGAATACTACAATAGATGCTGCAGATTATCAAGAAATACTATGTTTAAAATGCAATCTGGACTGTATTTGTGCTTAAAGAAACGTAGTTGTTGTCATTGCTAACAAGGTAAAGTCTAGCAGTTTTGTGCTTTACCACATCAACATACCTGTTGTTGCCACATGAAAAGATTTCCTAACACAGACATTAAGTCCTCATCCATGCATCAAGTTTGAGCCCATAAATGTATGACTATAGGTATATTTTTAACACACAGAGCATAAATTTAACTAATTGTTCATTAGAATATTTACTTAACTGTCAATCTGTTGTATCTGTGTAGCAGATTAATTATCCTTGTATAATTGTGACTCAATGCTTTCTATCTCTCTCTTTGTAGGGAGGCATGTACGTCTTCCAGCTGTTTGATTACTATGCAGCCAGTGGCATGTGTCTTCTTTTCATGGCCATCTTTGAGACTGTCTGCATTGCATGGGTCTATGGTAAGCAGCCCTCGCATATAAATGACTGAGAAATGTGTTTCCCAGTGATCCTTGCTATTTATTTTAATCAAGCATTATCCTATGCTTATTATTCCTATTCTGCTACAATTTTCAAGGAGCAACATTGAAATAAATGTCTTTACTGTGTTTTTCCAGGTGCAGATCGCTTTTATGACAACATTGAGGACATGATTGGCTACCGCCCAGGACCTTACATCAAGTACTGTTGGTTGTTCTTCACCCCAGCCACATGCATTGTGAGCATCAACAAACTAATTAAGTAGCGTCAAGGCTTTCCAAAAATGACAAAGGCTGATAGCGGCTGAGGCCTCCTCTACTCTTCTGCACGAATCAAAGAGAATTCTTCACTAATTGTCTGCTTCTCTCTCCAGGGTACCTTCGCTTTCTCCCTCATCAAATACACTCCCCTAAAGTACAACAATGAGTATGTATACCCGTGGTGGGGCTATGTCATTGGCTGGCTGCTTGCTCTCGCCTCAATGGTCTGCATCCCGCTTTGGATGGTGTACAAGATCAGCACCACCCAGGGGACATTCAGAGAGGTAAGTGTTGGCCCCAGGGATTGTTGTGATCCTTCAGTGTCTGATTTTAAAGGATTTATTTAAGATGGTCATGGCAAGGGCCAATTAACCCTGGTGTATCTTTCTACAGCGCATCCAGCTGCTCATCACACCATGTGACAGCTTACCCAAAACCAAGAGGGAGCAGGAGAGGTTATTGGCCATCTTTGCTCCTGGGGGAGATGCCACCTTGACTACAAATGGCTACTATCCTGTCTCAGAGAGAGACTCCAACTTGTGAGGCCCCCCCGTGGTGATGTGTACTAGAAAGACATGTGGGGTTTTGGTTCCATTCTTGACTTGCTGCACCCTTGCCTCCATCCCAAAGATAAGAGCAGGGAAAGATACAATAAAGTGTCACATCACATACTTTAATACAAGACAGATATGGAGGACTCAGGAGCTAATAGGCCTACAGTGTGTTGGGTTTGCCTGTACATTTCAGGGATGGTAGCAATATGATAAAAGAAGGATAAAGAAAAATAAATTAAAAAGTCATTTATTGTTTGTCATTTATTGGATTACTTAGAAGTTGTAGAGGGGACAAGGGCATTTATTTCAGGGACAAAAGTCATTTACTCTCTCAAACTGTAATCTATTTCACAGATGGTGTAAATGAATTAATTCAAGGTCAGCCTTGTCCATCTCATTCAAAGGTGGAAACTGTAGAGACTGGCACACAGGTTCTACCAGAAGTTACAAAATAGGCCTAAATGTTGCATAGTAAGGATGAATTTTGTCCAAATATAACACAGCCAAATCACCACTGAAAAGTGGGCTGCATGTCTCCTTGTGTATCTGACATCACTTCATGACTACATAGCCATATTTGTATCATATATTGTATTATCAAAACTGATTGGTGGAATTTTCCATATTGTATTTACAAGAATTGAAATAAAATGTTATGTGTGGTGGGAAGATATAATGTCAGTGAAAATTATAATACTGTAGCAATGCAATAGCTGTAGGACTAACTTGATAATGTAGTTTCATATTTTATGCTGTAACATAATGTGACTGTACAAAGAAATGTGAATCTTGTAAGTATGTTTTTAAATAAACATGCAAAATTGTATGTTGTCTTGAACCATTTTTCCACTTATATGCAGTGCTGTATTAATTTTATTTTATTTATTTTATTTGGAGGAAGAAAAAAAAGTGTCTAAAGAAACACCAGAGTTACATCATGGGAAGTGTATGACCATATTCGGGACTAAAGTCTGGATATCTCTCCCTCTGCTGCTGAAATCTTCACCATTATTATTTCTTATCTAAAGTCCCCTGTACTGTATGAACTGTATGAAGTGCAATACTGAATCACCGGAGAACCCCTTTCACCTACTGACATAACATTGTGTGCTCATAATGATTTTGCTTGCTTTACACATTCATTAGTGAGTGTGATAGAGCCCAGCAGGTGTTGACTTTGTAAAATGTGCATAATGAGCCCACACATGCTATCATCGCTGTGTAAATGACTTCCAGGATGTCCTCAGCAAAATACAGAAAATATGCACTTCACAATAGGAGAGAGAGTGTATGATTTCTGATCAAATCCACTGACACATTCTTTATGAAATGAGGTATTTGACTCCACGCATTACATGTTGTGTTCAAAATGTCCAATGATATAATGCCCCTGGCTGGACAAAGAGGTGTGTGCTTAATGAAGACTGTGTTTTAAAGGGGTACACTTTCTCAGGCGTCATGAAGGCTGTGCAGACACAATGATAGAGCAGTTTTGGATAATTTTTCTAGAATAATTCCTCCACTGGGTGTCATGCTTCTCCTGCTCTGTCGGCGACTCGATGATTGGCTGAAAACAGCAGCGTCACTCTCTAACTTTACGTGCCTCGGTGACGCCCCACACTTTCCCACCATGCAGCGGGTGATGTCCGAGGAAAGATGGCGGAAGGAGGAGCGGCTGATCTGGATACCCAGAGAGGAGAGGTCGCGGCACTGTTGAAAACACAGCTACGAAAGGGAGACACATGGTAAGACTGAAGCTGAAACCCTTTTCAAGACGCAGCGTGGCCGTGGGCTGGCTCTGCCGTGGCTGTCAACGCCACGAAGGAGAAGAAAGCCGAGGCGACGGGCCGTGTTGACAGTTAGCTCCGAGCTAGCTAACGGGAGCCTGTCAGCTTCATGTGTGTCAGCTTGGCAGGCTAGCGTTGCTTCAGCTAACGGAAGCAATTAAACTGTAAATGAAGAACAATAGACCTCACGTGTCTTTATACATTATGTGTTGTGCTCTGGTGAATTTGTTCGCTATTTCCAAAATCAACGTCTCGCGTTTTATCTGATGACACGATCTCAGTTGAGGCTACAGCTCGTCTTGTGTGATCTTAGTTAGCAGGCTAATAGCTGATTGGCTAGTCTGCCGGAGCTCCAAGTGGGTTGCCCGTCTGTGGGTTCATCCGTCGACTTCTGCAGGGCGGAGTCGGAAAAGAAGCAACTGTCAAAATCACAGAGCCAGCTGGCCAGGCATGCGGCAACCTGAACTCAAGTCGGCGTTAACACTGCTACTGTTACCACTCTCAATCAGTGTCATATGAGCCTATCAGAGGCAGATTTATTAAGAGTGCTGACAGCAAGGTAGCCTTCACCTGCCCAAGTATTTCTATTATCACCATTTAACATGTAAAAGGGAATACAAACGCCTTGGTTGGCACCTTTTTAAAGCGTGTTGCATGACTCTTGAACAATCCAGACTGATAAGCAGTGCCCCCCCACCCCAATCCCCACCCCAATCTTTGCTTTATCAGAGCTGAAATAATACTGCTTGCCTTCTCTGCAGGTACCTTGTGGACAGTCACTGGTTCAAACAGTGGAAGAAATATGTGGGATTTGACAGCTGGGACAAATACCAGATGGGTGACCAGAATGTGTACCCAGGACCAGTCGATAACTCTGGTCTCCTCAGAGGTAAGACGGATGATGCATCACTTTCTTGGACCTTGAATCGCCATAAGGATCCCTGTAATCACTGTGTGGCCTTTATGCTATATGGACCCCTGGTCAGTATAGCTTTATCATTCTGGAAGTAGCAACAAAGAGTTCAGAGGAAAAGAGAACAAAAACAACATTGTTGACAGACGCCATAGAGTAGCCGTTTTGGAGGGCGGGGGTTCATAGAAAGCTCTCCAGCATACCTTTTTCCTTTTGTGTGTTGTGTGTCGTGTGAGACAGACAGCGCAGGGTCGCAAAATGTGCTTTCCCTCCCTCTGTCTGCCTGCTCGTTTCTCACCCTTTCTCCCATCGCCTCCCTACCCCTAGATGGGGATGTGCTCGCCATCAAGGAGCACCTCATCGATGAGCTTGACTACATCTTGGTCCCAACGGAGGGCTGGAATAAGCTTGTCAGCTGGTATGGGTTGACAGAAGGTCAGGAGCCAATTGCACGCAAGGTAAGGGTTCAGCCGCGAATAATAATGTTATGAATGGATTGTATGGATGGAGAGTGTTTTGCTCACTGTATTATATAATTTCAGCATAGGCGGTTTTTTCCTGAAGCTTTGTAATGGTTGTGGTTGGTAGCTATAGTGGATTGGGATATCGTCAAGTGCAGCACATTTGGAATTAACACTTGAGTTCTGCAATAGTGTTACCTAACATAAAAGACACCAACAAATTATATTAAAGAACTATACTACTTCCTGATACGTCTCTGCTGCTCATTATACATTTTCAAGAAGAAGAATAGCAAAAGACAGTTTGGCCCAATATTTAGTTTGTAATAAAATACTTGTGGCTTGTGTGTAACCATGAGAAGTGCTGTAGAAGGTATTGATTGGTTGATCCTGATGGGTCAGTTAGATGTACAAAGATACACTGTGCACAGGAGCTGGAAACAAATAAAGATAATACTGATATATTAGATATTTACGATGTATGAACATATGAACAGGAAGCAACCATGATTTTACTTTTCATTAATTTACCATCAGCATTTTATTAATTTCTGTCATGAACTGCAATGGCTTACTTTAGGCCTAATTAGGTACTCTCACGCAGATTTTGTAGAAACAAACCACTGTTTAACTGTATGTGTGTTTAGCAATTGATTGGTCAGTGGAATACTTCATGATGGCGGCTACAACTTAACAGTAGATACAGTATCAGATCCCCTACTTAAAATCTCACTAGTCATGGCATCATGGCTGCTAGAAGAGGTTCCTCTATCATTCTCTCTCTCGTTCTTTCTCCCCCCCTTCCACTGACCCTCCCATTTTGCCATGTATGTCGTGGGACGTATCGGGTGGCCGCGGGGTTTCTATTTTCAGGCAACGTTCTGGATGACTGAAAAGCTACATGGAGCGATCTGCGACACACAACATGCAGGAGGTTCATTACTAGTTTTCTCTTTTTTTCAACTCTTTGTTTCTTCTGTGGGGTTGTCTTCTTGAGGGGCAGGGGAAAACACAAACGTTAAAATGGATTTAGGAGGATTGTAGTCACGGGTTTGTCGCTATGTTTCCTTCCGTTGTCCTCTTGTGGTCTGATTGCCAACACCGGTGGAGTGTTCCTGCGTGTCCTTGTTTTTTGAAGTGGAGGAATGCCGGCTGAGGTCACACTGAGAGAAGCAGCGTGAAAGCTTCTGAGAGGAGCGCGAGAGGCATAACCAGTTTGGGAGGAGTGGGGTGTGGGTGGGGTAAATGGTTTTAGCCTTGGCTCTGATTTGAGAAATTCTGTCAGAGTTTGGCGATGAGTCGGGCTTTTCCTCCGAGTTTACAAACACATGGGTGTTGTGCTGAGGGGTAGGGTGGGCCCACCGGGGTATCGGGGTATGGGTAGGGGAGGGGTGTGGGGGAGAATCTGAGCCGCGTGTGTGCGTGTGCATGACTATTGCAGTTCTCAGGGAGGTTTGGGAAGTTGTCTGTGTGTGTGTGTGTGTGTGTGTGTGTGTGTCAGAGGGGCTCAGCGGTGAAATAAATAGGCTGGGACCCCTCAGCTGTTTCCACGAGGTGCTGCTAATTTAGGCACTTCACTCTGACTGTGCTCATATCAGGACGCCAGATGAGTGGCAACCAGGCCACCAGACTGTACTTCGTTCTCCATGAGACACAGAAGCTAGTACAACCCCAAATTTACCAGATACCTTACATTGTTTGAGACTACAATTAAATAATTAGAATGAGGTCAAGTAAGTGTGTGCTTTGTAGCAAGCTTACCACTCATTCATAAAATAACCATTTTGGTTTTGGTGTTCGATGTTTTGGTTGATCAGCTGTAAAAGCTCTATATTTGTATCATGATAAGCGGGAGGTTGTATTTTCATCTGATAGAATGATATTTGTCTTTGGTTCCACCTTATTGGGTCTTAACATGTACCTGTTGCTACATAATGTCTTCAAATTCCACACTTTTTCTTGGTAACTTTAAAAACTGTTGAGAATATGTGGAATTATCGTGAGGAGTGCTAGTATATTATGCCTGTGTCTTTCTCATTGGAGCCACCTTTGTAAGAATGCATTTATACAATTACTGCTAATATTCTATAAGTACATATAGTGTTTAATATTGACAGTTGATAATGATAAATTACATATATTTGTATTTGATTAATTATGTATTCATTCTTAGATTATGTGGACAGTTAATATTTCCCCTGTGTTTTTCTCCAGGTGGTAGAACAGGGTATGTTTGTGAAGCACTGCAAGGTGGAGGTGTACCTGACGGAGCTGAAGCTCTGTGAAGACAGCAACATCGACAATGTGATCACCAGACGCTTCAGTAAAGCTGACACAATAGGTAGGCCTGAGTCACTCTGGAGTAACTGTCTTATTTACCACTGCTGTTCATACTCAAGTGACCTCCAAGGAGCTCCAAGTTGACCTGAATGCAGCTAGATTTCAACTTAGATTTCCACTACTTTTTAATTTACCCTTTTGTTTTGATTAAGGCAACTGTCATGATCCTGTTTGTGAAGTATAGAGGATGTGTAGACAGAAACATGCTCAGACACACACTGTCTCTCTCCCACACACACAGTGTACAGTGCACAAAAAGCATTAATGTCATGTTATTCTTAAGTTATTGCATAAGTTTTAAACAAATGTGGTCGGTTGATGATGAAAGATCTTACCTGGCATTACTTGTTACCGTGGTTTTCATCACTAATAACCCTCCCACGCAAATAAGACGCTCTTTTACAGTATTAAATCAAAGTCAAAATGGCTTCTCAAACATTCTCTTCACTGCCTCCATGAATTAAACCACTTTTCATTATAAAAGCATCTGTCAACCATGTGCCCTCTTTTATCTTTCTAGTGTTGGTAAACCTCTGGCTATTTCTGTTTTTAATCATATAATGTGAACCACAATTTATTATTATGTTTTTGATAATATTCACGCTTTGCTGCAGACATGATAGAGAAGGAGATGCGGAAGCTGTTTACCATCCCCGATGAGAAGGAGACCCGGCTGTGGAACAGGTACATGAGCAACACCTTTGAGCCTCTCAACAAACCTGACAGCACCATTCAAGACGCCGGCCTCTACCAAGGACAGGTAAGGACTTCTCTAGTTTCATCTGGAGTCAGCCAAAAAGAAATTTCCTTGACAAAATCGACACAGAGCTGTCCAAATATGGCTTGCTATGTAGACAGTTATTATTCCTGAGCTCAGTGAAATATGCTCTAGTTTCAATAACCCTTATCAGATAGCTTTTCCTGATTTGTGCTCTCTGCCAGTCAGCCCTTTTAGGCAACAGCAGAGTGGAGTTTCAGAAAATCTTAATTTTTCTGCTTTGTTGAATCTGTATCCAAGAGGTTATTATGACCTGCCGAGGGCCTTCTAATAAAAAACAACTGAATTAACTTTTTTTGAGCCATGTAATCTCTCGTCTTTTTACTATCTCATAGTTTCTCTCCTGGGTAAACACTTGCCCTTATAATAATAATAATAATAATATTAAAATAAGGAAAATATTTCAGGCTCCGAAAAACCTTGACACAGTGTGGTCGGAGCAACAAATGCAAAAAATTTCAAACTCTACAGTGGTGGAGAACAGCAATGCAGGAACGTATTAATATGAAAATAATATACAGTAGAGTTTCTGTGGGGTTACAGTATGTTAACACAATGCAACAAGACTGTCCCGTAAATGAGACGGTCACAGCTTCAAAACATCTGTGTGTCAGCTGCCACGCAAAGCACTTAACCTCTCCTTGTAAGCTGCTTAAACCGTGCACATATGTCCTGGCATCCACCTGGCAGTTGACTAGAGCAGACACAGCTTCTGTACAAGCCTAGATTAATGTAGACACCTGGCCACAGCGAGTCGGTGGACTTCAGATCGCAGGGCCGTCCCGTTCGCCCGCAGCAGTTCCAGGGGATTGCTGAGCCTCAGACAGAGTTAAACAGAGGATAAGATCCATCCGGCTGCCTTTTTTTTCTCTATTAGAAAAACTAACAACAGTTTATGGATGACCAGTTTTGATTTTATGTCATGTCATGTTTTTTTAACCATGTAAATTCTAAATTTGATATAAAAAAACCCCACTCAAGATTAATGCAACTATTCACATTAAAAATTTTTTTACATCTTCAGTTTCAGTAGACCCAGAGTATAGGATGCAAATACTTAAACGTTTACACTAGTGGAAGCAGATGGAGAACTGTTTTCTTTCTGCTGTCTCCCACAGGTTCTCGTAATAGAGCAGAAGAATGAGGATGGCACATGGCCCCGAGGCTCCACGGCACCCAAGTGAGTGAACGGCTTACATCACCTGGCTTATATTGCTTTGTTGTCTGAAGGGACAAAAGTTACCACAGAAATAGAACGCAATTTACATACTGTAGACAAACAACTACTGTTGATTTACCAAAGGATTGCACATAGGCAGTGTACTACTTAATTGCTAAGGACTTTTCACGCAGTCAGATGTGACACAGCACCAGACTTCCTCGTCTGGGACGCTGTCTAAAACACCTTTCAATTGCTTCTCTTTGGAAATTGCAAATTTGAATTGTGTAAAACTTTTTTTTTTTTTTAATTTCCGTGCTATGTCACTACAGCACCCCATCATCTTCAAAAATTTCCTCTCTCTATGACTTTGCCTCAGACTACCTCTTTTGCTTGACGTTTTGTTGCTGACATATCCCTCTATTTAATTTAATTCATCTCAGTTTTATTTAATTGACACTGGCACACCTTCTCTGGAACAGCACCTTATTTTCTCTACTCTAACTCATGATCTATTCTTTATCTTTTTTGAAGGTCATCTGGTGCTTCCAATCTCTCTGCTTTGCCAAAGATCTCGCCTTCATCTCTCACAAACAATCATAACAGCAGCTTCAACAGCAGGAAGTAAGGCTTAGTAGTGGGTTTGAATAGCTAAGGGGTGGGTTTGGATGCCAACAGCCAGAGACAGAGCCCTGGAGTATTGCTCAGAACAAATCTTCACATTAACCTTGGTGGAAGTTCAGATCCAATTGGCTTATAAAGTTGTAGTGGGCTGAAGAAAGTCTGCAGTGACCTCAGTTCAGTTTCCACTCCAGTATCCCAGTAGGAAGTTTGTCGAACTTTGTCTTGCACAGGTCTATCTCTGGCTGTGGTTCGGGGCTTAAATCTTCCTCGTGATGATGCAGTTTGTAAGAGCTGATAGCAGGGAGGGGGAAGGGGAGGGGGAGGGGGACCGGGCTTGCAAGGGATTGATCTCTTTTCGAAATTTCTTCAGCGACAGCAGTGCTCTCTATAAATGGCCCACTGGTGCCGCTGGGCGCCTTACTCAGCGTTCATTTTTTTGCATCTGATTTTCTACCTTACTGATTAATAGCTCTGTCTAGGGCTGCATGATTACGGTTAATTTGATAATTATTTTACCCATTACCGTCATACTCTCAAGACTCTCAACACTCAATCACACCATTCAAATAATAAAACATCTGCAATGTATTTGGGGCACAGCAACGAGCTTGACACAGACTTGGTGCAGAATATCCACAAATCTATTTCAATTAACTAAATAGTTTTCATCGCTTTCCGGAATGACTTTACTGTGATTTATTTATTTATCCGCTCTTCAATAAATCCCAGTAAAGTCATTCGAGTGTGCAGTGGTTCATTCAGATTTTATACTACATCGTCCAGTAGCTGACTGTTGTTGGCAGTGCATGGGAAGTTTTGTTTATAATTGTTTTCACATTCAAATTCAGAAGGATTTTCCTAGGTGTGATCAATATTTCTACTTTATTTATTGCTGTATCTTTTAAAGATGGCCTATGTAAGATTTCTTGGCCCGCATCTCCTTCTCGGGCAGCGTTTGGACTGACTGAAAAATGCAGTCCCCCACATTTGAATGAGGTCAGTCCAGCGTTGCAGCAGAGGTGCCTTTTATTAAATCCTGTTTTATACACAGGCGTGCAGTGTTTATGCATCTGATGAGCCTTGAAAGTCATGGATCTGGTGCTCAGACTGGTCATCCTGGGTCTAATTTAAGGTCTCACCGGTACCTGAAGCAGTACGCCCTCAGTGGAGCCCCTGTGCAGTTTTCAGTATGAAGGCGTCTTTACTTTTATTGTTTATGTAATTAAAATTTCAAAATGTTAACGGAAATAATCTAAAATCATCTCGGAAGATGCCCACATTTCAATCTTTACTTTGGTTTTGGTTGCACATTCAACAGTCGCCAATGCGTGTAACGTAAGTTAATATACCACATCAGGAGTTTCAGAGATATCACGTCATTTGCTAAACAAATAAAGTTGTTGTTAATCACTCCAACAAAAAAATCCCAGGATATACTTAATCATGCAGCTCTAGTGCTAACCACTAAGTGTTGCGAATTTGGTCAAATCACAGCACCATCTCAACCGTCAGTCCATCAGTCGAGATTTCCTGCAGTGCCAAAATGAATTACAGCTCACTTTTTTTCCAACTTTGTTCCTGTTTTTCTGGAAAATGTTGTAGCCTATATGAAGGTTTGTCGCTGAGGCAATGGGACCTAGCGGCTCTGTCTGCCCTCTGCTAGAGAGCACTGCTCGCCTGTGGGTGGAGCTTTCGCCTCTGCTGTCCAGTAGATTTTCACTGTCCCCTCCTTCCCACCTTCTGTGTGTGATTTACTGCATGCTGGAGTGTTTCTGTGTGCGTCTGTAGATATAGACACTCTGGTCTGCATTGCATTTTTTTTTTTTTTTTTGATACTGTTGGAATGCAGAAATAATAGCCCGAAGCTTGGCCACCCTGAAAAATCAATATTGACAAAGAAGGAAGGTGTTGAATTGAAGTGAACCTGTCCTTCCTACACTCACTAGCTGAAGAAAATCTCTCCAATTTTTTTCAGTACACCATACTGCTGCCTCATACTGTACTTACATTTGTACAGTTGGGAGTGTAGTTACACATTGTCATTTCACAGCTCTGCTTTATATTGTTTGATAGCAGTGGCATATTTTTTCCTGCATATTGTTGGTGGATTGTTGAATTCACAGAGTGGGTGACTTGGGGAAATTGGATCTTCACTCCCAGCAGCTCCCCTGTCCCTGATTCACTGTAGTGCCAGAGCTGTCGTTTTCTCTGAATTATGCATGGGGCTTTTTTTTTTTTTTTTTTTCATTTGAACTGTTCCCGCATTACATAACACTTGTCTTTTTGATTTTGCGGTTTTTGGCCTGGTCGGTTTAGCCTTAGTAGCAATGCTTTGTAACAGCAGTAAGTGTCACTGTCTTACTAGGCGGTGTCCCCTGATTCTGGCAGGCAGTCTCTCTCTCTCTCTCTCTCTCTCTCTCTCTCTCTCTCTCTCTCTCTCTCTCTCTCTCTCTCTCTGTCTCTGTCTCTTGGTCTCTTTACCACTCCTCTCCCCTGAGCTCATTGCGATGCACACGTTCTGCAGTCCAAGTGACCTTCAGAATACATTTCATCTGCTCCTGCTCCTGCTCCTCCTCTCATCACCTGCCTCCGTGCACACACACATACAGGGTGATGAAACCAGCCCTTTTTCCAGGTTTTAGTTTATTTATTTAGACCCTCCCCCTTTTAAACGAGGACATACAGACAGCCGTGGCATATTAAAGAGGATGAAAGAGGGAGTGTCAAAGTGTGCACTTGAATACTCTAGGAGGGGTGCTAACAGTGTCGGTCATAAGGTGTAATTTAACAGAGGGGGGGAGGGGGGGTGAGAGTGAGAATTTGTGTGTTAGTCTTTCGAGATGAGAGACAACGCAATATAATGTGTGAGAAAAGGGGATAAATGGTGTGTTGGCATGAGTTAATGTGTGTGTGTATATTGTATATCTGTGTTAGAGAGAGAGAGAGGGGTGGAGAGATACTAAGTCAGAGCGTCAGACCTGTGAATACTGCAGCCTCAGCTGGATGCAGTGGATCAGCTGCTCCCTCCATCCCCATCTCATTTCTCCTCTGTCAGCCCCCCCTACTGTCCGCCCCTCCCCCCATTCTCTCTGCCTCTCCCTCTCTCTCCCTCTCTCCCTCCTCTCTCTCTCTCTCTCTCTCTCTCTCTCTCTCTCTCTCTCTCTCTCTCTCTCTCTCTCTCTCTCACTGTGCACCTCTAGCTCCGGTAGCAGTAGTCTTGAGCATCCTTGCTGCTGCTGATGCTGCTATAAATATCTGCTGGTAGCCGTAGAGCGGCAGAGAGCAGCAGGCAGGCCAGAGGGAGGAGCAGAAGACCAGAGGACAGGACAGGACAGGACAGGGGGAAGGAATCTGAGGCAGAGAGGATAACAAGATGACAGGCGGTCGTGCTCGAAAAAGAAGAAGGGGGGAGAAGAGAGGAGGGGAGCTGCTTAGTTAGCTCCAAGAAAGAGGAAGAGTGTGTGTTTTTGTATGTTGATGCGTTCTGTGGTTTGGTTATTGGCCTGTGCTGGACTTGGAAGTCAAATTTAGGCCTAAACTTGATTCGGACTGTATCCTAACTGCTACTGGAGCAGCACTGTGTTTAGCTGAGTTAACATTTGGACTCCACAGTGGAGACTGGAGCTGGACTTTCCTTCCCGGCCTCTAAAACCCAGGCTTTGCATGCACCGCACACTCCGAACCGAACCCCATCCGAACCCCTTCCAGGCTGCCGGTCGTTCGGTTTCGTGCGGACATGCGGGCCGGCGTGGGCCGGGGCGGGGCTGAGATGTCATGCTCCTGTGTTGCTGGTGGTGCCTGAGGCCTGAGGCGGTGGAGCTGGACAGCAGGAGGGTGGACCACCACCGTGTGCTGAACTGCGAGGCCACTGCCTCCACCGCCATCTCAGCTGTTTCCCTTGACCAGTGGGAGCCAGAAACGACCAACACTGCCTTGCAGCCCTCCCAGAGGTCTGCTGATTGCTGCATTTGGCCTAGCTTTAAACACTCTGATTGTGTAGGAAGCCTGAGAGTGTCTTTTTTGGGGTGGGGGTTCATAGGTTTGGATTGAAGTTTGGTTTTTTGGTCGAGGAGGAAATAGTGGAAACTGAAGCTGTATGTTGCCTGGTGGTTTTAATGTATTGCTGAGTATTAACATTATATACCTGGTTAACTAACATAAATGTGGCAGTATTACATTTACAGTAGGCGGTTTAAACCTTTTGCTTTGCTTGTAGCAGATTGACAAACCCTATCCAACCTTATATAACCTGCCTGTTTGTGCTTTTGTATGTTTATTGCACAGTGTGAAGAATTCAAGCTATAGTTTGCCGTCCTACCACCCCTACAGCAACAGCTATGACTACTCAGACCAGAGTAGGCAGAGTGAGCGCTCAGGCCTCTGTGGACTCTCCAACCTAGGCAACACCTGCTTCATGAACTCTGCAGTGCAGGTAACAGCATGTCTTCAGGGACCTCAGCACAGTCTAGGAAAGTATGTAAAGTTATTCTGATTCTTTCCAAGTCTTCAAAGGTTAGTTCATAGTCTAGAAGAATTTATAAGAGAATTATAAGAGTGCTGCAGAAATGAGTATGCTGCAGAAATGAGTATGACTGCACTTTGTACTCATAGACCTAGGAATGGAAGTTTGAAATACAGATCTTGTGAAGAGCCTTAATCCAACCTTTGCTGATTATTGTCCTCTCCTGCTTGTGCGCCCCCTGCAGTGTTTAAGCAATATCCCTCCACTGACTGAGTACTTCCTCAAAGACAAGTACACGGACGAGCTGAATGAGGACAACCCGCTGGGCATGAAGGGGGAGATTGCCAAAGCCTACGCCGAGCTTATCAAGCAGCTGTGGTCGGGCAAATACAGCTACGTCACCCCAAGGCCTTTCAAGGTGACTACCTGGAAATACTTTGGTCAGAAAGATTGTAAAATTCTCTAAGGTGTTTTGTATGTTGGATTCAAAACGGTGTACTGTTTATACATATGAGACATATGGTCTGTAAAAGTGCTATCGTTGTGTCACCCACAGTAGTTGTTAGGCTAGTTAGATATCCTAGTCTTTCTTTTTCGTCCTTCTGTCTTTGTACCTCTCCCCATGGCATTTTCCTCATGTGTTTAACATCGTCCAGACCCAGGTGGGCCGCTTCGCTCCGCAGTTCTCGGGCTACCAACAGCAGGACTCTCACGAGCTGCTGGCCTTTCTCCTGGACGGCCTTCACGAGGACTTGAACCGCATCAGAAAGAAGCCCTACATCCAGCTGAAGGACGCTAACGGCAGGCCAGATAAGGTGAGATAATAGGAGGATATGGTTCATCATGACTAAATAGATGTATTTTCACATTTTACATTAGTATATACTTAAAATAAATAGATAGAAAAATTAGATTATTCTGTACTGCAGATAAGCACTGTCTCCTTTTTCAAAATGTTATGTTTTATTTAGATTTGTATAATAGCTCGTTTGTGCTTTGCTGTTTATCTTAGGTGGTGGCAGAGGAGGCGTGGGAAAACCACATCAAGAGAAACGACTCCATCATTGTGGACATCTTCCATGGCCTTTTCAAGTCCACCCTGGTGTGTCCTGTGTGCTCGAAGGTCTCTGTGACCTTTGATCCTTTCTGCTACTTGACTCTACCCCTGCCCATGAAGAAGGAACGCACTCTAGAAGTCTATCTGGTCAGACTGGACCCTCTGGCCAAACCCACGCAGGTAACATGCCTGGATAAAAGCACCTGAAGTGCAGCAATCTTGGCATTATGATTTCATGCGAGACAGTAGTTTACGGGTGGCGTTTCTGTTTCAGTACAAGCTGACCGTGCCGAAGGTGGGCTACATCTCTGACCTGTGTACCTCCCTCTCCAACCTGTCTGGGGTGCCTGCCGAGAAGGTATAAACATCACCATCAGCTCTGCTCTCTGCAGTAACCCTGCACTCTTATTAGCCATCACACTATAATGCTGACATCTCCCCACACAGCACAGACCAAAATAGTCTATTCCCCTTTAAACTGTCCCTGCCCACCCATCCTCAACAGCTAGCGGGGGAAATGTTTGTATCCTTTTCCTTTTAGAGCAAAGGAGCTGAATAACAATGCAAAAGAAGAGAGGGAATCAGTACAGAAGGTGCAAATGAAACAACACTTTCCAGCCCAAAGTTAATTAAGCTCGAATAGGTTTTTTGCCTTCATATTGAATTATACTGTCCAAAATATTTACTCTGCTGTAATAGTGCACCAAATAACACCAGGGATATATATTATATATCAGTTAAATCAGCCTACATTTCCAAGAGTCCTCTGATTCCTTTGTCTTGATTTTTATTTTATCCCCCAGATGATTGTAACTGACATCTACAACCACCGATTCCACCGGATCTTCGCTACCAACGAGAACCTCAGCAGCATCATGGAGAGAGATGATATCTATGTGTGAGTGTCGAGCTTGGCTGATTCTGTTATCTAATTGTTGAAACAGCATTATCTAAATTGGAGTTTATTTGCCATGTAAAAGAACTGATTTTACCCCTAATGCATGGTGTAATTTCACAGATTTATCATTTAATTTCATTTAATTTCTGATTGCTTGATAAACCTATTGATTATTTTGACTTTGTCATTCCGGAGATTTAAAGCATAGAACAGCTGGCTGTTCTTTAAACTCTTGGTGCTAACATGTATCCAATGACCGTGCCTCTCTCTGCAGATTTGAGCTGGCGGTGAACAAGGTGGAGGATACAGACCATGTAGTGATCCCGGTTCACCTAAGGGAGAAGTACAAACAGTCGGGCTACAACCACACCAGCACGCCGCTGTTTGGACAGCCCTTCCTCATCGCCGTCCCCAGAACCCTCAGTGAAGACAAACTCTACAACATGCTCCTCCTGCGCCTCTGGTACATCCATTTGTCTCTGTGTTTGATCATATAATTGAATATTATCCTAATATATATATTAGCCTAATGTTCAACTTTGATGGCAGTATAAGTATAAGTTAAACCACTTTGGCAGGCAATCAAGAAGCAATCGGAAGAACTTTAGAAAAAAGTAATTTTGCTTGATAAAAAAAAACAAAACAGACTAGTCTTTTAATTTTTTTAAACTAAAAATGGTTTTGGGTTTGCAGCCGGTTTGTGCGATCTTCAGTAGAGGAGGAGGAAGAGGACTGTGAAGAGACGCAGCCATCCAAACAACACACTGTCAATGGTAACGCCACTAATGGACTGCTGGAGGAGGGGTCGCCGAGTGAGTGCACAAACACCCTCACACATAGACATGTTACAATCAAATACTTGATTGACCTGTAACATCTTTTGAAATGTCCTACTTTATTAGTGCCACACAGCATTTGTTATTAAACACCATTAAAGTCCTTGAAACAATCTTGTCCGTTCCCTCCTCAGGCGAGATGGAGACCGATGAGCAGGACGACGAGTCCAGTCAGGATCAGGAGCTGCCCTCTGAGAATGACAATAGCCAGTCAGAGGACTCTGTGGGTGGGGACAACGAGCTGGAGAACGGAGTGGTCGGCCCTCAGAACTCTACCAAAAGCCAGCAGACGGCCGGGCACAACAGAAAGAGACTTTTTACATTCCAGTTCAATAACATGGGCAAGACGGACTTCTCCCTCATCAAGGAGGACACCAGGCAGATCCGCTTCGACGAGGGACACCTCCGACTCAGTGGTGGGAACCGAGCTGAAGCAGGGAATAAAAGAAGACACATAATGTCCTCAAATTCAAAATTTAAGCAAAATATATTCAGACTCATCATCTAGTACAGTATCCAGTTGTTTTAATTGTTATGTGTTCATTTTTATCCTAGTGTTATTAGAACTAGGTAGTCACATTTTTCAAATCACATTTTGCATGGATTATGAATATATCATTTAATCAAAGCTCAGAGAAGTTAATGAATCATTTTGTAAGCACTAGAATAAATGACCCTGTAAATAAATGGATGAAATAACTGACTAACCCCCCTTTTTTTTTTTTTTTTTTTTTTTTTAACAGATCGCTCTTATCTCTCCTTGGACTGGGAACCAGAGATCAAGAAAAAGTACTTTGATGAGACCGTTGTCGAGGTAAAGCCAGAAACATACAGTATTAAGTTAGCAGAGCAGCAGTGCTTCACTTTGCAGTGCTGTCTACCATCACGTTACAAAATATGGCGATGTCACCCAGACAGGAACAGCAGGAAGTTATGGTTAACAAGCGTAACTGTCTTGTAATCAAAAGGTTACAGAGTTGATGCCCGCAGCAGCCACTGCATCCCTGAGAAAGGTGTTAAACCTCCACCTTGCTCCCTGCAAGATGCAATGAATAAGCAGCGTGGCGGTGGTCTGTGTTTCTGCTTTGTAAATTTTAATAACTGTAAATATTTACTCTCTGTCCATCCACCAAAGCTGTCCTGTAAAAGGGTTTAATCTGTCGTTTCTAATAGTTTTAAGATGTCCTTAAGACACGTTATTAGTCCATATTTTAACTTGTGGAAAGTATACTAAGTACACAGAACTCACATAAGGCCATGTCAAAGTAAAGTATTCATTGTTTTGTTCTATTTTGGGATAGGGATGTAATCCATGTCCAGGGAGACACAACAGTGCTCTGAGTAGTGTTTTCTAACAGCTGTGTGTGTGTGTGTGTGTGTGTGTGTGTGCAGGACTTTGACAAGCATGAGAGCATGGAGTACAAGCCTCAGAAGAAGGCTTTCTTCAAGCTGAAGGACTGCATCGAACTTTTTACCACAAAGGAAAAACTGGGAGCAGAGGACCCATGGTGAGAAAACACTCAAACCGAACAAGTTACAAGCGGGTGACACCAAGCTGTCAGCCCAGATGCTGCAACACGTGGGGTCAGCTGCATCTGCTAACATGAAAATGTGCATGTGGTCTCACAGGTACTGTCCAAACTGTAAGCAGCACCAACAGGCCACTAAAAAGCTGGACCTGTGGTCTCTGCCGCCGGTGCTGGTGGTCCATCTGAAACGCTTCTCATACAGTCGTTACATGAGGGATAAACTGGACTCCCTTGTTGACTTCCCACTCAGGTGCGTACACACACACACACACACACACACACACACACACACACACACACACACACACAAACACACATAGACACACACACATAGACAATAAATCTCTGCAGCAGAACACTGTTTCCAGCAATTTATCCGTTCTTTCACCCGTTTCACTTCATCCACATACACTATATGCAGGCCCACAGTACATACGTATAGATGAATAGTCTCATGTACAGTAAGGGTTTAAACACAGACTCATCTTATGATTTTCTTTAGTAAAATAAGATAAATATGAAGTTTTGCAAACTTGATGATTTGTCAGCCTCCACAGTGTATATTTTGTCATTTTGTTTGGAAGTGTGTCACATTATGAAAAACATTGCCATCCACCTGTTTTCATGAGCAATTTCAATTTGCTCTGGAAGGAAGCTCAGCAAAAAAAGCTTAAAATTAAAAAAAAAAAATACAATACTACAAAGTGCAGCAGAAACAGATTCAGCAAATAATTTCTGACATACATGAAGCACGTGACTCAAACTTCCCCTGAAGAGATGAAAATGTGAGAAGACTGCAACCTTCTTCAAATAATACACGAAATAAACATAAATTCCACATTTCCATCATGTTTTCTACATGGTTTTCCACCATTTCAGGTATCACTGATCACTAAATAAGTATTTCTATTTGACACAAGGTTGAATTGCTATCCTTTGCTCTACGATCTTCCAGCAAAAATTTGTAACATTTGCAGATTATAATAAAGATGTTAGATGTCAGATACCCTTTTGGTTGTCAAGATACCATTTTACTCAGCAGTGTGACTTCTGTTAGCACTGCCATGTCTTGCTATTAGTCCAAATTAAAAACTACTTTTAATACAGTGAAATACCTAAGAAGAGAGTTGCTATCTGTATAGAAATAAAGAGCTAGTTTAGTTTTTGGCATGGAACTATATACATACTCTATAGTTATATTCTTCCTGCACAACATTGAAGACTTATTTGCACTCTTTCACTCGACACATGACGCCTGACCGTAAACTGTATGATGTGTTTTTTCCTGCAGAGACCTGGACATGTCTGAGTTCCTGATCAACCCCAACTCTGGGCCCTGTCGCTATGACCTCATTGCTGTGTCCAACCACTATGGCGGGATGGGTGGAGGCCACTGTAAGGAGAATTTTACACAAATCACACAGCAATTTACACAGCCCCCTTTCCATAATTTTACCCTCAGTGTCACGCTGGCATAATACTATTTAGAATTGTTGTCTTTTTTAATGTAAACAACTAAACAAGGCACCTTTTATCATGGTTCCTTTATGCAACCACACTTTCAATCGAGAAACATGCTGTGCAAATATGGTATTCATCCGACAGCTGAAGCCCAGTGATTGGAGCAGGCTAACAAGCTTGATGTTACGTCAGTCATGATCAAACAGAGCTTTGTTTCTCTGAAGCTCACCACAGGCAGTGCAGTGGAGGTTTGCTGCATTTTGCATTGTCATTCTCTTATATTTGTACCCAGCCATATGGTTGTTTAAATAAGCTTTTTGCTGTAGTCGCAAGATTTGTCAGGGTCAGGATTGTGTGCATATTAGGTACCTCTATTACTCTGTTACAGTACACAGCAGAAACCTCATTACCTTTTTCTCTTTGTATGTCTTAACAAAAATGTCTGCGCACCAGTAAAGAGGGAAACCTGTATAATGCTACATTCTTGTCTTTTAATCTCAGATACTGCTTACGCCAAGAACAAAGACGACGGAAAGTGGTACAACTTTGATGACAGCAGCGTGTCTCCTGCCAACGAAGATCAAATAGTGGTGAGCGTCCTCATTTGCAAAAGCCAGGCCAACAGTCCTACTGTATATTCATCACACGCAGTTTTGCTGGACACTATCTAGAATGGTTCATTTCATCAAAGTAATTAGGATTAATTATTACATTGCAAAACAGTGTGATGTCTCAAAGATGTCTGGCTGTGCTGATACTCCCAAAAAAGCACTAACAAGGCACCAAGGACTCTTTTTTTTTCCTGGGTTATTGTGTTGCTGTTACAGTTTGTGATATATAGTAAATGGTGCGTATAAACAACCAAGTCAGTGATTGAAGCTACACACTCCAACCATGTGGAGTCACATTAAGATGTGTTAACACTAATGGGGGTGTTGAGAAAGTTTGTAAAGGCTTTTACACCTCACTACTCACTGATGATTCCACTAGACAAACAGCTCCTAAATAAATACACTTATCACATTCACACAGCAGTCACAGCTGATAGTTTTAATGATATACACTTGGAGGTAACACCTTCTGCTGTTTGGATAATGTGAGGAAATTATGAAAATGCAGAATGTGGTTATGCTTTGACTTTTGGGAGGGAAATTAGATGATTGCAATAATGTGCTTGTTCTTGTGTTTTAATATTCAATTCATTTTCATTGAGAGGTTTTTGTTTTCTGGACATGACTGATGATGCATGCTAAAGAAAACTGAGAGGAATTTAAAGGATAAGGCAGGTGATATTATATTTTTGTTGAGAATAAGGAAAAATATCGAATATCACCAGACTTACCTTTGAACTTTTCTTGGACGGACAGATTAGTTCCTACTGGAGGTTCGTCTTAAGAAAAACGTCCGCAAGCACTAAGTCCGCGGGTAGGCTGTAATTAATGTAATCTACAGCACCCTGTTGACTCATTATCCAAAGATTACAGTAATTGCATGGTCATGTTATTAGTGTTTAAAAGTGTCGACCCAAGTTTAAAAAACGAAAGCCGCAGCAGTAACTATATGCGTAGCTGAGTCACTTTGTTTATTCTTGTCTTTCCTTCAGTCCAAAGCAGGCTACGTGCTGTTCTACCAGCGGCAGGACACGGTGAAGGGCACCGGCTACTTCGCTCTCGACCGCGAGGAAGAGGAGGAGGAGGAGGACGAGGAGGAGGATGAGGAGGAGGAAGGAGGAGGAGGAGAAGAAGAGGAAGAGAACGAAGGCAAGGAGAGGCAGGAGAGAAAGACCGTCTCCTCCGCGCAGGGTGCCTCGTCCGCCGCCGCCGCATGCGCCGCCGTTCAGAGCGACGAGGAGGACCCGAACGAGAACCGGCGCAGGAAGAACGACAACGAGCAAGAAGATGAGGATGAGGAGGAGGAGGAAGAGGAAGAAGAGGAGGAGGAAGACGAGGAAGAGGAGCAGGCGCCCAATCGAGACGTCACCATGAAAACCAACTGAGGCCAACGGGGATAGGAATAAATGGAGAGAGAGAGACTAGGATCTTTCCATCCAAAGCCATATGGACACACAGCATGGCAGCGGGCGCCACCGGTCCCACCCGGCGGCTCGGACTCGGCCGCTCAACAGGCGGAGCCACTGCGGGGATGACGGCTGTTTAGGTCGGGGAGCAGCCGTGGGTACGCAACTCTAAGAAATCAGGGCCCTCCTCTGTGGTTGGATCACTTGTGTGTGTGTGTGTGTGTGTGTGTGTGTAAAGCGTGTGTGAGTGTGTCGCCACGTCCATTCGTTTTAGGATTTGCTCACCTGCTCTCTGAAAAGACTCACTGAACGACATTGAGGGCTGATTATGAGGCTTCACTGTACTCTGGTGTCGCACTCTGAATCGCCCTCTCGCTTTTTGTGTTCCTTTTTTTTTTAAAAATATATATATATATTTTTGAGAGCATTGTTGGCACATCATTTTATTATCATTTAGACCTTGTAAATATTTTAAACACTGAATTATATCGGGTTTTCATCATGCGCTGAAACATTTTGAACTTGCACAATCACCAACCATCCAACCATTTTTTTTTTTTATGTATTATTGCCAGACATACTGCAATTGTCTTTCTCAGAGGGTTTTTCTCACATAAAAAGCCTAGGAAGCTGCCTTTAGTAAGCCAGTGGTGAGACGCGTCTACAGTCTAGCCTCAACGAGAAGTGACGCTCATGGTTGTGTGGTTTTATAAAGTGTCGAACAGCCAAACTGTCCTAGCTTTGTGCTGCTGCTACTGCTGCTGCTGTGATCTTGCTTTTTTTTAGACCGATTATTATAAGTGTACTGGCATGAACCTTTAAGGTCCTGCTCTTGCTGTCTCTCTCTCTCTCTGGCCTCCTCTGATACTTTATATTTCTTAAAACCTAAAAAAAAAAAAAAAAAAAAAAAACAGGGTTGAGAAGTTATCCAGCTAACTTTGCAGAATCACCAAACAGATTCGTCCTCTGTGTATTTTATCTGCAAAAGGATGTTTCAGGAGTCCCAGAAGCACTCCGTCTTAATCAACTCAACACAGTGCGCGGGGACGGCAACAGATATCTGTTTAAAAAGTTAGCTGGCGGGCTCGTCGATCCTACGCCACGAATCTCCTCTTCACCTCTCCCTCTTAAGTTATCCACCGGTGGCGTTTTTTTTAAAAAGAAAAAGCTTTACCGCGGCTCTGCACTCGTTCTCCTCTTCATGTCGGAGGCACTGTGAGATTAGAAACATCGGTGATTTCGCTGACATCAGATGGGGGGTCATCTCTTGTTTGCATCACCTCGGCCTTAACTCTTAATCTCAGACCAGTCGCCTTTTCTTTGCACATCGCTATCGACACCGTCTTTCTTGCACGCCCCCCCCTCACACACCAACACACTTGTGTGCGAATGTCCGTACTAACTGTCCGTTTGTTATATCAAAGCCATGTCATCTCAAACTGTTTTTGTTTTGTTTGTTTTTTTAAACCCACAAGAGGGCCAGAATGTATGCTGAATGAACACTGACCAGATGTATGTGGTTGATGCCTTTTTGATTCTTTATTATAGGGACAGATTTGTTTTTCCCCCTTTCTTTTTTTTTTTTTTTTCCACGGCTCCCTTTCTTGGTTTGGTTGAATGTGATGGTAATAGGTTCTTCGCCTTTGATATTAGCTGTATGAGTTCATGGGCACTGCTGAACGCATCCCATGAAAAAAAATGCGTCTTTGTGGTCCTGAGCTTTGAGGATGGATGGGGGGAGGGAGGGAGGGAGGGAGGGGACATTAAAAAAAAAAAAAAAAAAAAAAAATATGGGGTGAGTCAGCCTAAAACGCCTTTCAGCTTTTGGGATCATGATACAGTGAAAATATTGTGTGGCAGATTGTTGCAGGATATTCCTCCATCGATGTAACTCATGATAAAAACTATTCTCCATGGTGGAGTGTTATGTTTTCTTTTTCTACCTGTTCTTTCCATTGTAAACAGCATTACCGTACCTGTTGTCGCCTCAGAATATTAGACGTGTACCATGCCTTTATGAGCATCTCTGTGCTTTGACTTCAGTGGGCTTTTTTTGGCTCAGCGCTGCCTTGCTTTTTGGGCGACTCACCCCATCCTGACTGAGTGAGATGTGATTGCTACTATAGGCTTATACAATACTGTAAATAAGAGTTCACTCTGTGAGTGCACATTTGATAAAGTTTATTTATTTATATGTAAGCATTTAATAATAAACAGACAATATATTTAAAACCTTGGCAAGACCTGAGATGAGGGAGGGAGGGAGGGAGGGAGAGGAAGGGGAAGGGGTGGGCGGGGGGGCGTGGCGTGGCTCGAGTCCACACATACACACTAGTTTGCAAAGTCTTGCCTGTGCTCTTGTCAGGGAGGGAATATTTTTAAAAAAAGGATGGTTCTGTTGTTTTGGGACTTTTTTTGTAAAAATAATCCAGACATCCTTGCATGACGACATAATGGGGGTTTCCAGGTTTGGCTGCACTTGAGTTCACTTGGGTTTACATTTGAAATGTGCATGTGTATTTATACACAATCTTCAATAAAGTTGTGTAAAGCTTCCTGTGAATCATGCTCTGGTTTTCTTCACTGTGCACTGCAGTGCTTCTGTGTGTGTGTGTGTGTGTGTGTGTGTGTGTGTGTGTGTGTGTGTGTGTGTGTGTGTGTGTGTGTGTGTGTGTTATTTTCTTGCCAGACTCCCAACACAGTCCCTGGTGTGTGTGTGTGTGTTTTTGTTTTTTAAAAAAATAAATAATAGAGGCACACTTGTTAGTTCTTTCCTCAACTGGTGACCATAATCAGAGTTAAAGCAGAATACCATCAGGTTTTATTTTAGGTGGAAAGGTAACGATGCTTTTAACGCTCAACCCGGCGTCCAGTTCCTTTTATTCATCCCCATCTAGAGCCCCGTACACACCTGGACCACAGCGGTAAGGGAGAATCCTCGCAGTAGCTCACAGAGACGTACAGTTTGCATTAAATGTTAGTGTGTGCCGCGGCTGCAGGCTGGTGTGTGAGGAGGAACACGGTGTTCTCTCCGGGTTCTGACTGGGTTCTCTGGCCGCTCACAGCTGGGAGGATCCCCCCGTGCAGAGGCTCATCCAACCGACCAATGGGAAGAAGGCGGAGGAGGCTCGACTGTGTGCAGAACAGTGGATCACTCTCCGGGAGAAAACAGAAACCAGCGTACTGTCAGAAAATACAATCCATATATTTAACATTATTACAGACAAGTAAGTATTCAGATACTTAAGTTAAAGTACGTGTTACCATCAAAATATACTTGTAGTACCAACTGTAAAATGACTCATTGTGCAGAATGGCCCGTTTCAGATTCATATATATTATATTACTGAATTATATTTATTGATGCATCACTTTGATGTTGCAGCTGCTAAAGGTGGAACTAATTTGAAATACTTTATGAATTTACCTCCAGGATTTATCTTAAAGCTGCAGTAGGTACCTTTTATGAAAATAAACTTTTTGTCATATTTCCTGAAACTTCCACTATATCCTGACAGAACCACATGAGACAGATAATCTGTGAAAATGGCGTTTGTAAGAATCCACCGGGCTTGAACGAAAACAACCAATCAGAGACGCTTTGGGTTGGAGGCTTGAAGATAGTTGATTTTTTAGTCTGATTCCCAGAACCCAGAGTGGTTCAACCTGGGAATGACACTCCACAATCAGCCATCTTACTTGGCTCTTGGCTCTGTTTTCTCATTATTTTTTTTCATATTTCAATTAGGCACACATTACACCTTTTGTCATCCCATCCATTGTTCCAGTAAAGTATCAGTGCTCTGGTGATAAAAACAAGGAATAAAAAATACAATAACTTGATTATTGCTGTCAAAAGTCCTATCATATCGAGCATCCATTTCTATCACCTGTTTTTCTCATGAGAATTTACATTATATGAAGATTTGATTACCTGGCAGCTGATGTCTGCAGAGTCTGACACGACCTCATAAAGACCTCCCTGTAAAGAAATGAAGGCGCTCTTTTGCGCGCAACCAGCTGATGGCGCACTCGTTGCAGTTCCTCTCTCTCCTCCCTGTGTTCGGAAAACCCGTCAGAGTGGCACCTCCGTTTTTTTCTCTTATCTCCGGTCGTGCCTACACCCGTCCTGACGTTCCCCGCGAATTTTATCCACGCCGCTCCGCCAAATCCACTCATTTTCCACACCTACCTGACATGCGGCATTTGCGGGGAGAAAGGGGCAGAGAAAAAACACGCATCGCTCCGCTGTGGATTTGTAAACGTTATTGTGCTTTGGATCGAGCGGGTTTGATGCCGGGACAACTTTCCCCCTCACGACGCAGAGACAGAAACAGACAACAATAGATTATAAAACAGTCTGCTGCAGTTCGGCTGCAAGGTCGATGTGGATTTTTTTTTTTTTTTTTTGCATTTTTTTTTTTAGCATTTTTCTCCCATCCAACAAAATCCCTAAAATATTAATATAGAATCACAGCTGTGAGTTTATTGTGACTTTTTGGTAAGTCTGCCGCTTATCTCATGTGCTTCATTACGCAAACAAAGGGCTATTATAATCTGCACAATACTAAAAATGTCATGTTAGTTAAAACTAGTTAATATTGTGGTAAGTTTATGGTGATTCTTTCACACGCGTAATTTTATGTTTTGTGTGGTGTCCGGGGACTACAGCATTGCCGATGGCCGAACTGCACGGCTCATAAATTGTTTTATTGGTTCATTCGCTCAGTCATGTTATGCGGACTGCATTATAATGTCATTATTTAAAAAATACTAATACCACAGTCTTTTTTTCCGTGGTCAGACATGGTGATGAATGTCTCCTATGCCACTCACGAAATTGACGGAGAGCACGGCCGTCCCTACCTGCCATATATCATTTTCACTGAGGTCATCTGAGGAGAGCAGCGGGTGCAGGAAATATGGGAAAGGTACAGGAGGTGTGTTTTTTTTTTTTTCCTCCTTTTTCTTTGGGTGGGGTTTTTGTCTCGCTTTATTGCGGCCACGTTTTTGCGCGCACGCCATTTTTTCCGTGCGCTTTTACGCACAGCGACACAGACTGAACGGCGATTGGGACTCAAAGTGGAGCGAAGCGATCCTGAAGGGGACAAAAGAAAAAGGCAGAAGAGCACCGGGGGGGCCAAGCGCTGGCTGAGGTAGTAGTTTGTGCTGTTGGTCGGGTTGACATATTACCCATTGTGGAGATGACTGCGCAATCTACTGCCTTGCCGGCGCTGGTGACTTGCGACAGAGGAATCAAACCGGATCAACATTCATGACTGAACTCACTTGACTGTTTGTAAACAGAATAACCCGAATGGGAGCGAACATGCCTTCATAATAACCAAGTCTCCTGTAAAACTACCGTGCGTAAATTGAATTGAAATTGATGGAACTGTCACACATATGTTAAAATGTCTCTGGTTGTAGATACATTTGTGAATAAAGTGATTTTAATGGTATATATCACGTGGCTTTGTGTTGCTTCAACTCTCCAACTCTTTTTTTGATTTTTTTCAAACCTTTCTCAAGAGATAGATAGATAGATAGATAGATAGATAGATAGATAGATAGTCTTGTTGTTGAATTAAGACCTGATAATGGGATTTAATGCACTGGAATTAACCTTCGGCCCTGTATAACAATTGGTGGAACTCAGGACAAATTTAGGGAGTGTACGAAAATTATTTGGGGGGAGGGGCTATGTATTTGTTTAGTTTTTTTTTTACCTGAAATCTAATTGAAAGTTACTGCAACCTAACAGAAAAATAAATCAAAAAACTAAAAGTGTCCAATAAAATTGAGTGACTACAACAAAATCGGCTGGAATATTCTGTAAAAAGGACCTTTTTATTTTGTGACGCGCATCATAATTTTTCCCACAGCTATTGTGTGGCTATGAAAAAAATATTTTATTAACTACTCGGGTCTAAATTGGTGTCCATCATCTTAAACTCTTTGTGCACTTTTCGTCTTTAATGGAAAACTAACTACCAATCAATAGTTTTATTACTATGAGATCATTTAGGGGAGCTAATTAATACAACTGGTGATGGTGTTTTTAAGCGTAAAACATAAGCCCCCCTCCCTACCTCAGTCATTTTTGTACAGCCCCTTGGAATGTACGTGGTTTTGGGTCAAGGCAGAAAAGTTATCAACCTCCAGCTGGCCTTACTAGTAAATAAACCTACTGATTTAAACTGTACCAGTTACTACTAGTGCCAATTAAAGTAACGGGACAATCGTGTGTTTCTCATTGCATTTCCTCCGTGATTGATGTAGATACAACACAGGAAATCAATTTGTGATAATGGCTTTTACCCAGGTCAACCTCATCATCATTAAGCTCTGTGTCAGTGTTATTGTGCACATTCAGTGAGCCCACAGTACTGTATGAATCGACCCTGTCCAGCGTGTGTCCAAGTGTTTGTGATTCAGTGAGCACTCTGTAGTTCCTTTAATGAATCCCTCTGCTGTCTGCTCTCAAAGTCTAACTAGTCTTTTGGAGGCCAGTTGACCCTGTTTGTTAGGTTTCGCCTTCCCACAAGAAGAACCCAGGGAATAGACACAGCAACAATATTGATTAGCGTTCTGCGCTTCTCCTCTTTTGTTTCTTGCTCCTTCAAATTGATTTGGTCTGGCAACTGATTTGGAGCAGATAGATTCTAGGAACTGTTTGGGCGGTTGAATATTGAGCTTACGTTTACTTGACATTAAATTCTTCCCATTAATGACACGAAACACATTTTTTACATTGATCTTTAACATTTATTTTTTTTGTCATTTCTGGAAAAGAAACACTGAAGGTAAACATAGTTTTTCCCCAAAGTCAGAGTTGCACAAGGAAACATTAAAAATATTTCTTTTTGACTTCATAAGTTATCTTTTTGTTATACAAAATGTACATTTCACATTCACAAATGAAGAGGTTGAGGGTAGCACAATGGTCACTTAAAAACGGTTCCCCACTGGGTTTCAAACTTCCTCTTTGCTACAGAAAAAAACCTCCCAGTTCATTTCATTTTCCCATAACAAACGTTATAGCCTAAAGGCAGAAAAACAACAGGAGTGCCTACTTTCATAATACAGCAACTTCAAAAATGGAAACCTACAGTCGGGCCGAAGGCCGAAGTATACTTTCAAGCCTAAGAGGTTCCCGAAACACAACAATCCACTCCCATGTAATCACAAATGTAGTGGAACTAATAAACCACCTTGGAGGACTCCCTGCCTTTAGAAAATCACTCTTAAAAGCTTGACAACTTTAACTACACATGATAATTGAACCTGAGTTGATGTGCAGCAGTTGGGTGGCACAGTAGGATGACAAAAATAAATCATTCTTTGACATTCATCTATGAGAAAAAGGCTTAATGACAGGTATAGGGATGAACATTCAACACATTCTGATGCCCCATTCACGCGTTGTCTTGACATGTTCACAGCTCAAAACATTCGCTCTCTCTGTCGGGTGAAGCCTGGTTTCTCTGTTGAACTGGGACATGCTAAGACAATGGTTGGGTGGCAGCAGAGTAAACAAAGTAAAATAAAATAAAACAGACATTCAATAAATTAAATATAGAACAAGTTTTTAAAGACTTGGTAACAAGGTCAAATAGCTTATTTGATGGAAAAACAGATGCAACAGGTACAATAGTAAATAACAATGACATGTATTACAGTACATCATTTTTAAATTAAATGTTTCTTTCATGGAATGTACAGGAGGAAAAATGCACCATATGAACTTCAGGCAAATGTAAATGACTGCTGCATGGAGGAATGTAGATAACTGTCAACTGCACAAAAACTAAGATGAAAAATAGCCCATGCAACACAATGGCATGTGACGTAAAGTAAAAGTTAAGCATTTTGGGATTTACGCATTCTTTTGTACTGGCAGTGAGTTAGATCGAAACTTCTGTAATGCCTGTACGTTAAATATGAAGCTACACACGGTAAGCTTACCATAAAGACTGGAAACAGGGAGGCTAGCCTGGTTCGGTGCAACAATTACAAAATCCGCCTACCAGCACCAACAGCTCACAACTGAAAGGTAATAACTTTTAACAAGAACTAACAATTTGCTGTTTTACAGGGGGTTATGTGCCAGTTACGTCCCTACAAGTTCATTATTGAGCCTTAGACGTGCTAGTAGTTGGATTTTGTTACCGTCTGACTGAGCCAGAGCCCACCTCTTGTCTTCATGCTAAGCTAAGCTAACTACTAGCTGTACCTTCACATTTACCATAAAAGATATGAGTGGTATAAATCTTCTCATATATTTCTCCACCAGAATGCAACTAAGTTAATACAGTCCCAAAATGTCAAACTTTTCCTCTAACAGTGGCTTCCTCATCCTGGCACTGCACCATTTCCACATGAATTTCTTGGATTCAGTTAATCGCCTGTATGCCCTGTTTTATAAAATGAAGAGACATATTCTCACCTTACAGTCAAGCCTAAAGTAAACCAGTGCTACTCCAAAACTCGACATATCCACTATTAAGGTAAAAAAAAAAACAACCCTAAGCTATCACTGTTTATTTGTCATACAAGGACTTAACCATTAAACATGCAGTTTTCATTTTATGCTGTCAATTGTTTTTTTGTTTTTTTTTCTTCTCTGCTCGGAACTAAACTTTTTTCTTTGAAATAAACTTTTATAGTTATCCTCTAAGTTTCACCTTCCCCCAGACTACTTCTCATTTCTGCATCTTAACCCAAGGTGGCTGGCTGAGGAGTGTAGCCTGTGTGAATGCAGAATAATAATGTAGGGAAGTGGTGAAAAAAATACACATGCACATCAGTCTCGGAGGCTGTGACAGTTTTCAGACGACCCTTCACGGTCACTTTTCTTTCTGAAGTCCACTCAACAAGATGAAAAAAGTGCAAAAAACCTATGATTTGGTTTTGTCTCTGTCCATGAGCATCCCTTTCGTCCATCCCGCCGTTCCCTTCCTTCACAACAAATCGCACCCTCAGCTCTTACGCTAAATGTCGGGGATGCTAATAACCCTCAAAAAAAAAAAAAAAAAACAACCTAATAAATATATGCATGGTATCTGCACATTTACAAACAAAATGACATTGTCACTAACTTTTGATACATTACAGAAATACAAATTCAGTCCATATAAAAACAAACAGCAGTGTAAACCATTGCACCGTTGCTCATATTCCCAGGCCTTAAATATGTCACTGCATGCACTGACACACAGTCAATCACACATCGTTACTCCCAAACGTGTCCCTCTGAAGACAAACGTGATCTGTATCAAGCGACTAAAGCTTCTGAAACATGCCTAACATGTTAAAGCAAAAGAAAGCTTTCGGTTTCTCTGTGAAACTTCTGTTCACCATGACTTTGATTGTTTTTCATGCTCACGATTATGAATTTAACTCAATCCTCCCTGCTGCAGGGAATATTGGCCTCTTCATCATTCCATATATCACGGCTCCTTGGTTAATGATGTGGGTCAGCCTAAAGTGCGAGTACACTGATGTACGAGTCGTCAAATCTAGCATTTAGCTACATGTAAAAAGGGTTTCTTGAAAACTCAATTTTCACAAATTCCACGTTTTCAAATGTTCGGTTCAGCTTGTGTAACTGATGTCACGTTCATATCTGTACATTAAACAGGAAGCTACCGCCTAGAAACTGTTAGCTTACAGTAAGTTAGCTTAGAAGTTACTGCTTTAACCAACTGTCTTAGCAAACAATGGGGACAAAAGACATACATGCTAATTATTGAGCTTTAGAGGGGCTAATAGACAGATTTTGTTACCTTTGGAAACTCCTAGTTTCCCAATTTTGTCTTTATAAGCTAAGCTAACTGGATGCCATCTATAGCTTCATTTATATTGTACATGTTATTTTGGTGATTTTTATGGTGTGCCCCCCCCCCATTTCCTTTTTTTAAAAAAAACAAACAGATATAAGGTAACGTTTAATTCGAGTTAAGAGAGCTTTTTTTTAAAAATTATTTAGACAAAGCCAAGCTAGCTATTTCTCCCCCTGCTTCCAGTCTTAAGCTAAGCTAAGCTAACTGTCCCCTGGCTATAGCGTCATATTTAATGCACAGATATGAGAGTGGTATTGATCTTCTTAGCTCTCAGCAAAAAGCAAAGAAGTGCATTTCCCTAAATGTTGAACCATGGCTGTTTCATAAAGACTCATGTCAAAATGTGAAATATCCATCCAAGTTAAAAACACCGTAACCATGACTGCTAATCACTTAACACAAACTCACTGATGACCAGCAGATTGATCGATTGGCGTTTTTTTGGGGGTTTTTTTTGGATTGATCTGGTTGAGTTTTTTTGGACATTTTGATTGATTTTTGAGAATTGTAAGACTCTTTAAGATTTCATACAGGCTCACAAGTTTTTACAGTAAAACTGATTCCTGATCTGCCTTGCTTCTATGAGGTGGTTAACTTCCTAGTCTCTTTCCTTTTGCGTCCACGTTGGTCAGTTGTGCACTTTTACAGAAAAACGCCTACATCCTAAAACAGAGATCAACCCCCCCCCCCACCCTCTCCCAACTTGTCATGTGACAAGTTTTCAGGGTTTCGGGGGTCCTACCAGTCAAAATCTCATTGCTGCCATCAGTCTGTGATCTAAAATGCAATCTGGACGCAGTTCTTCAGCAAGTGACTCTTTCAAAGCCACACTGTGGCAAAACAGAAAACTAAGCTGACCTGTCAGCTCGGTCCATGGTCACAAGACGAAGGAGGTATTTTTTTTTTACAAACAAGTTAACTGTACAGTACAGGAGAAGACTGAAATAGAAGGAATTGGATCCAAGTATTGTACAGCACTGTAAGAGAGGTAAGAAGGACAGAAAGAAGAGGGTCTTTTCTTCACTTTGGAAGAGACTTTCGCCTATTTCAGCTTTCACATCTCTGGAGAAGTTCAGGGGCAGTCAACCTCTATGGAACTGCTTTCACTAACAACGTTGATCCATCACTTTTATCTACTTTATACAGGCCAAATTATTTCTTGACAGCTTTGACTTTTGGCAAATTAAATTACCATGTGTCTAAATTTTCATGTTGGAGGTTTTATGACTTTTGAGGCTTTAGAAAATGAAGCAGTGCTGACTGTAGTTCCCCTGAGCAGCCAAAGTTGGTGGCTGACCAATTATGAACTCCTATAGAGATATGAAACACCAACATAAATATCCAATTATGAGTATATCCTTGGTCTAAGGAAGAAAAGAAATGTGCAAACGGCATTAAGGAAACTGAAAAGGGATTCTGAGTCCAGGACTAATCAGTCCTGTTGGTTTAAGAGCCTACACGCCCTTCAGGTCCTTGAACCGCAGCGTCTCTGTCGGGGCTCCTCAGGGCTGACGGTTGCCATACATGAGCGGTATGATGAAGACCGAGATGTCGTCTCCGGAGCCCAGACGCTCATTGGTGATCCTCCAGCCTCGGTCCCTCAGCACGCCACGTGCTCGCATAACCAGGTCTTGTGCTGCCATTGTGTACCTGGACAACAGAGGAAACAACAACAGAGCTGCAGTATGTAGGACCCTTACTGTGAACTGTGAGTTATTTCTATGCTGCGTGAATCAAAAGGTCACCTATTTACTGCGGTTAATCCATATTTTGTCATTATACTGTGCCACTATGCCAAAATGAGGACTTTAAGACGAAACAACATTGGTACAAAGTGTGAAAATGTTAAGAAAAGCTGGTTTGTGGCCAAGGTCATAATTTTTCCTTGAAAGCGAAACAATGGCTTTTAAATAAAACATGCAACACAGAGGCATAATTTACAGCAACAACAGTTTAACATTCAGGTGTAAAATACTGGACAAAGACTGGACTGGAAGCACTGGCCTTCAGATTGACAAAACGAAAGCAACAAACCTTTCATGAAAGAGAGAGAAAAAGGAAGAAAGCAAGCAGACCTGTGCAGGTCATCAGGGTCACAGTTGGCTAGGAATGTGGTCACGGCTTCGGCTACTTCCTGGTTAGAGAGGACGTCCCAGAGGCCGTCGGTTCCCATTACCAGCACATCATCAGCCCCGTGCTCATACTGTGTCAGGTTATATACCTTAACCTAAAACACAAAACATGTAGTATTTTGGTTTTTTACTCTACTTTTATACATGCAGCAAAAAAAAAAGAAGAAGTGAAACCAAAATAATTTTAACAATGACAGCTAGAGTGGCAGCATCGAACGGTTGGTGATTGTCAGCCCAGAAACCGGAACAATCACACTAAATTATAAAGTTTTACCAAAGTGAAAGATTTTTTTTTCAGGGGCTGGCAAGATCAAGTACACTCAACGAAAGTAGCACAAGTTTCTCAGCCATACTGAAATCTATCCTGACAAATCTACAACTTAATGAATTCAGTGCAGTCTTCATTCACTGAGAGCATCTCGACAAACCCACTTGAGACACTTTGGTGAGAGGTGAGAGTCGTGTTTGTGAGAAAGAAACACAGACAGAGATACTGAGTGCTGAGAGGAGCTATTCCATGTGAACCTGGTATGAACCCGGGTACTAATGAATTAAAGATCAAGCAGAGAGCTGTGGAAGGAAAAATGCAAAACTCTGTAAGACAAACTACATCAGGAGATGAAAGCGCTTTGAAACCGGTGCCAGACAGTCAGACAGGTGAGCTCGAGTTCTCCTGCAGCAGAGGACCCCGCTCAGACAGAGATGCACCAAAATGCTACCTTCAGTGACTGTAGTGCAGACACGACAGGCAGCAGGGTAAGGCATGTGACAGAGTTATCCTTTCGCCCATGAGATAAAACAAGTTAAAGGGATGGAGCTGGCAAGAAGAACTGGAATGAATAGAGGAAAGAAGAAGAAACGCCTGCCACACCGGATTATGACCGTTTAAAATGTGTTATGTAACTGCACCAACTGCAGGAAGCAACCCCCAGTCTGAGGGTAAATGGGTTTAAGGAGATAGATGCACACATGTCAGCCACACAATTCCTTCTGTATGTCAAGTTCGTTATGTTAAGTTACAGAAACTGAAATCACATTTTTTTGTACTTTCCTGTGCTGCCAAAGTCAATAACCTGCTGGGATAACAGGACATTTGTAATTATGTATAATAAAACGAGGTGCTCATGAGGACATGCCAGTTTTGTTTTAGAGGCATGGTTCCTTTTTTAACTAGCTGAATCCTAAATGACCCACAAACAAAACAGGACAAGAGGATAGAGAAAAGGAGGATTGGCTCCTCCACGGCGAACCTCAGCCAAAATAATTACATTTCCGGAATTAATTTGTAATATGCATGTGTAAAAATATTACATTTAAAATCTTAAAGGCGGGGTCAGTCATTTTGGAAAAAGACAGCTGATCATTCCTCAGTCTCATTCCCAGGTTGTCAATACCGGTCCTTTGGCAACCTAAAGCATCTCACCGATATTTCCAGAGACTCTGGAAATGTGCATCTTCCTCGTTAGCTCGGTAGTTTAACACCCGGGCGTAAAGGGAGCTTAGCATAAAGTTATCCAGCAGCAGGCAGGCAGCGGGTCAATAACGGGTCACTAACGGCTATCCTTTTCCCATAATGTCATATCTGGCAGGGTTCCATAATAAAAGTACGCACCGGTGCAATGATTAAATTAAACTTAGCATATAGCCTCTATGGGTAAATATACATAATGAAAACAAACCACAAAATGTAACACCTCTGAAAATCGCACTTTCTAAGGGCCTTAATTGTCGCCAACTTCATCGAAAGAAGTTCTCCATCTAAATGAATACAAAACTAGGGGGGCGCCTTCTTGGTTTCTGATTTTTCTAAAGTCATTTAAAGAGCAGATATTCATGTTGTAGCAGGACAAAAAAAAATGCTATTTAATTTAAATTTTTATTTGCCATGCTGGCTCTTACCTCGGGGCAACAGGACAGGAACGGTTTGATGTAGATGTTGGAGTCGTGAACCTTGAGGTCATGGTCACCGAGCCCACGGGTAACACCAATGGTGGCCAACACCCGTGCCTGTAAAACATTAGGGCTGCTTTAGTCTGGGTTTCTCACACATTTACAGAATTTGTCAGTTAGCTAATAGTGAACATATGGATGTACACATAGTCCCATATTGACTGACAGTAACCACATTGGCAGTGTTTCATTCTGTTACCTCCCGGTCAGAATTTACAACACAAGTGGGCGGTGGAGCTGGTAATTGCTCAGGGTACAGTTGCAATGTAGCTTTGCTTTTTATTTATGTGTGGTGCATTTAACAAGCAAACAGCACAACATGTGACACTGTTCAAAGGGGAGTAAAGTGTTGAAATGCTGAAACTCAATGCAATATTTAATTTATTTAAATGATCAAATTCTTTTTCAATATTCGTCCACTCTTTTATCCGTGTGTGCAAACTCTTCATGTCGTTTGTTCTTTGAATCCAACAGCTATTCATCAGACAACAATGGTGCTGTGTGGTCGTCAGACGCCGTTTTCCTCTCTGATGGAGACTCTCTTTATGTCTCTTTTTGCATCAAAACTGAATTGATTGAAAATATGAAACAAATGCGACTGAGAATCTGAAGCGGTTTGTGCAATTTATTTGGAGAAGTGTTTTCAGTTTTCTTCTTCTCATCTCTCCCCTGCTGTCCCGGTGGGGATTAACTTCACTTCTCAGAGAGATGACTGTCATCTCCCGAGTGCTGTGTGTCTGTCTGAATGTCCGTGAGTGTTAGATGTAGCTACTGGAGTGAAACAGATGGACCGTCTGCTCTCTCTTCTAGTGAGGGTGTACATTCACTCACACTCACACTCACACACACACACACACACACACACACACACACACACACACACACACACACACACACAGAGTGCGCTACTCGTACATCAGAGACCAAGTGTTCGCCCACTCTCTGGGTGGCTGGCAGGCATGTAGTGTGTGTGTCTGTGTGTGTATGTCAGATTGACAATGTGAGAGCGAGCGATTTTCTCTGCAGTTTTGCAATTCTATAGTAGACGTACAGGTCTTGGAGTCAACACACACTCTTACCTTTTTCCCTTCCCCGTATATTAGTGGAAACTTGAGATCTTCATCCTCAATGGTCTTGTATGCCCTGTGCGCGAGGAAAGAAAAAAAAAAAAAAGCAGACCGAGACAGTGAATTAATCTTTTCGTCCGTTGTGTCTGACACGTACATTCACATAAAAATAATATACACACATACACACGCTTTGAAAAGTGGAGTGAGAAGAGCAAAATGAGACCTCTGAGATCTTAATTATACTATTTTAAACCTTTCCACAGTCAGCAGCTTCTACAGCCTCTTCCTCAGGTGCATCATTACCCATCCAGATGCAACATAACCACCAGCTTCTGCCACCAGTCCTTGAGCAGGGCACCAGCTACTGTGCTAATGACATGCTGTAGCTGAGACTATCAGATCAAATAAAAACAGAAATATGCTTAACCACATCTGGGTCCTTTTATCTCTTATTTACAATCTCAACACCTGGAAGGGAAACTCATTATTAAAAATCTCATTGGCTGTACCACGATCATTAATTGACTGATTTGTACATTGAAATTGTACATTTAAATACTTATTAAAGCTGCACTTATCAATATTTTTATATTAGCAATGGATCAAGAAACTGTGTGTGATATGAAAAAATATCTGTGTGTAGATGCAGCGGCCGGTAGCTCCTTTAAACTTGCTACAATTGTGTAAATCTGTATCTCTGCTTTATTGCTGAAAACATCACTGAATGATGTCTGATTGGATTCGATTTTAAGCCAAAATCAAATCAAAAAGGCTCTGGAGGAGCAGAAGAAAGCCAAGATAGGAGCCATGCTGGGCCAGTTTAGTGAAAAAAAGTTGTACTCCAGCGATTTAGTATTGAATGTTCTTAAAGTTGGGGGACTTGCCGGTGTAAATTTTTAGAAAAGAATGGTCAAAATTGCTGCAGCAGACTTTTACTTCCAAGTATCGAGCAAGCTCCAAAAATTCACTCTCCATAATGCAACTTGATAGCATCGCTTTGTAAGACCCTCCTTGTCTCTTAAATAGCCACATCTTTAAATCTCTGCCCCTCAGTCTGTAATGCAGGTTTTCTGTTAAAAATGTCTGCATGCTCAAGCAGATATAACACTGATAATATGATTAGTCTCCAACGACTGTCTCCAACGTTCTATTTAACATCGAACTGTTTTGACAGGTTGAGTAAGTGAGGAGAGTCTCCCTTTAATGTCACTGGTTAACATTTAAGGTCTGACTTGTTTTTTTTTATTTGTTCTTGCTCAGGCCTATTTAATAAAACATATGTGGCCACTTCCATCCTTCTTGCAGGTCTTGATTCTGCGTCTCATAGCAAGAGTCTCTCTAGAGTGCAATAACAAGTGTTTTTGCTCCTGAAAAATTGAGCAAGTGAAAGTGAGCAAGCAAACACAAGCAACAACAAGAAATGAGTTCAGAAGAGCACAAATGGAAGCAGAAGATCTGAAAACACACTTAGAAATGGAGCTTTGATGTCAGACTGAAAGACTCCAAGGCTGACGCTGATGTACTTAAACTAGATAGATTAGACTTGGCGTCACCAGTCAGTGGAGAGTATAAACTTCAAACGGCTTCATATCTGACCAGGGTTTGCTCTGTCTGTCAGTCCGTGTCTCTCTCTGCTCATTTGTCTGTCTCAAAACCGAGACGTGTACTTTTCCTGACCCAAATGCAACACTCTCTTCCTGCCTGGCTTTTTTTCCCCCTTGTGCTGCAGAAACAGAGATTCAACTTCTTCATCCATCAGTCATCCTATCATCCCACAAGCCATTTTGAAGACATTACCTTGGGCTATGAGAAATTCTGATCAGCAGTTTGGCCCTTGAGGATCTCCATATGAATGCTGCCTTGCTCAAGGCAGCTCAGAAGTAAACAAGGCACAGTAGCCAAAAGCAGAGGCTTTTTCAAATCCCTCAAAATTATTCTCAGCTGCCTTGGTTTGTGACCCGGGCTAATCTTGAAGCTGAGGGAATCTGAGGTTTCTAAGGTAGCCCAGAATGAATAAAAACCAAAGACTAGCTCTAGATAGGGCCATTCACGTTTTTTGTGAGTTTCATGACCACTGTAGTTTCTTGTTTGTACAGTTTCAGAGTTTTTGTAAAAATAAAAATGTTTAATGCTGCAATAATCAATAATTCTACATTACCAATGGATCTGATGAAAAGGGGAATGTAAAAGGAGTTGATAGTGACAAACCCACAGGGAATTACCACTCAACTCTGCAGTTCCCCCTCAGCTCCAGCATTTCAGTGTCTTTAAGCTCACTGTTTTAGCTTAACAGCCCACAAATGTTATGTTTTGGTTCCCACGTACGTCGCTCATCAGTGTCATTTCAAGGTGCAACTTGAAATGACACTGATGAGCTAAAGAGTGAATACTCAACTTACATGCAACTCTAAATTCATGCTAAGCAGCCACTGCACATGTATAAGTAACTGTTGCTAACAAGTTTGCTAGATTAAATGGACTAAAAGGAGTTCTTAACTAGTTATGAAACAGTCCTAGTTAAATATTGATACCTGTATATGACCTACATAAACAACAAAGATTAACAGTGAGAAGATTGGCTATTTCTAAATAGCTCTTCTTAATGCCAGCCATTGGAAACACTACTGCTTTTGTCTGCAGGGTCTGCCACAATCAACAATACAAGTTCATTGTGGCTGCTTTAAGGTGATAATAAATGAATGCAACTTTAAATTTCTCAAAATAAGGTATCAAAAAAAGTACTGTACCCAAACTTAAGTATTACATCAGTGCCTGTGTTGAAAAAGTCAGCAAGTCCTTCAGAAATATGAACAAAAACTCCAAACTACTTTCTTGCGTAGATGTGAAGAGAAACAACAGCAGTCCATGCAGCGGCACATCCTGGCTGGCATATTTCTGCTCCTGAGGGGTGATCTTGTGGTGAAATATACATCACACACCACAATACACACAGTACTGTATGTGCCTCTGTGTGTCAGTGAGTGAGAGTGAGAGTGTCAGTAAAAGCACATCTCATTACTGGCTTCCACTGCAGCCACAGTCAAACAGCATGGTGCCTTGCTAACCCCCATAACACTGCATATACAGGACCATCTCTGCTGTATCATTATATCAGCTTAGGCTGCTCCCTCGTTAGCTCTCTGCTGCTCTCTTCAGCTCTTACTGTGTAGAAGAGTTCAAGTAAAGGAGGGAAAGGGAGGGAGAGAAGCAAGACATTCAGACTAATGAAATCTTTTTTTCAGATCAGTTTCATTTAAGGTGGATGCAACTGGAGAGGGCTGGAGTTTATAATCCTAGAACATTAGCAGGTTTCATTTCACAGGTACGGCAGGTCATTCGTCTCAGGCACGCATTTTGAGGAGGCAGGGGTCTTTGTATGCTCAGTAAAAATCGTGTGCAAATGAGAAAATGAAAAAACAGAGGGGGAGACTTACCATCCATTCATTGTGAAATCTCTGTAGAGCATCCTCTTGCCCACCTCCTTCCTCTGAACTCTCCGGGGAAATTCCAGGTGTGTGAACTCATTTCCTAACAGGTGAGGCTGCATAAAACCCTGGAGGACAGATGTGGTCTTCAAGTCAGTCAAGCAGCTCAAAGTGTGGCAGATTTTGAAATCAAATGAAAGTCATCTTCCATTGCTTTGTTTTTTTTTTTGCTCATTGTCACTCTCTATGAGCCTGACTAATACTGGAATGACGGGAATAAGTTACATTTTCTTCTTACATTAGTCAAGGTTGTGGTGACTGATGTGCAGACGAGGCTTTGATTAATGATTAAAGGGTGGAATTGAGGTCAATATAATCATCAGTACCAGACACCTGCTCAACACACACACACACACACACACACTGGGGAAGGCAGAGATTGAAATGTCTGTGTTGTGGACCGTTGTTGAGAGTTTATTAGGGGGAAAAAAATGAAAAAGAAGAAGAACATTTGTGAGAGCTCGGCCTGATGGATGTGAATTCCTTGCTTTTGCTTCAGGTTGGGAGCACCCTAAAGGATTTCAAGAAACTTAATATAAAGGCAGCAAGTAGAGACTGTTCCTTCCTTTGTTTTACATAACATAAAAAAACATATTATTATGTAGAATTGTACTGACCAGGACATTTAACGGTTGAAAAATCAACTTGTCATTACACTCTGGTGGACAAACAACATAATGGAGATTCCTAATTATTTACTAGCAGACATACAGTATCTGCCAATATCAATAGTTTTGTGAGAAGAATGTTGTCCATGCCAATGTTTTGGTCAGGCTCCACTTCTTTCTTAATATATGCTACTGTAAATAGATATCTGTACAGGCAATATATGCAGAAAGAGCATTCGGTAATGAGCTTTCCATGTGCAACTGTTCATCCAAACATCTTTGACACATTTATTCATGAAATCAAAAGGAAGCATAGAACTGCAGAGACATGAGTCACCGCTTACTGCCACTGACTATAAAAAGGTCAATCACAGCCAGCTATTCTCAGCTGACAAGCTTGTTGAGCTGTTGCACAGCTCTGTAGGAAACTGATGGACTTGAAATATCTTGCTGATTGTGTTGCTTGTTGTGTGAACACACAGTGAGAAGCTGTGGCCGACAACAAGCACCGTTTCTCTGGTCAACAAAATAAAGTGAGTTCCGGTACAAAGGGGGGGTTTCAGTTGCTAACTGTGTGTGTAGAGTGTGTAGATTTAGGTAGGCTAATATGGCTTTGTGTGACTTTATTACATATATTTGTCAATCTTCAGATTATGCTTTGGACTAAAGACTAGGTGTCGTGCAGAGTTTCCTTACCAGGAACTGTAGTCGCTGTCGTTCTGATTCTGGTGTGAACTCTGTCGACATGGGAATGATCTCATTGTTTCTAATAATGATAGCCCTGCAGACATACAAAAAGAAAAAAAGGAAAAGTAATGTACATGCAACCATATATTCAAAAGAACAAGCAGCTCTATTAGTTGACGCTCCAACTCATTCTGCCAAGACAAGTTCACATTGTCACAAACCGGCTAAGGGAATGTGACATGGCAAGAGATTTACTTTAAACATAATTTATTCTATTTCAACCCTACTGCTTTACAGACCCTTTCATTGAGTGAACAGAAGATAAGCACACACACCTGCTGTCACCTGCATTCCCAACGTATAGTTTTCCTAGCAGGTAAACCACAGTGAGGGCTGTACATCCTCCTGTGATGTTATAGACTTGCTTCTCCTTCTCAATCTGGGCATCCTGGGAAAGGGAGATATGGAGAGACGTTTTTTGTCAGTCTTTAATGAAACATCACTTAAGACAATAGGAAAACCACCCACATCCACCCACATGTGACAGTAAAAATTAAAAATGTCAAGCTAAAATCGACACCGCAAGCATCCCACACAGGCAGTCTGGGCCTTCTTCTATTCAATAACATAAATAACTTTGACTATATGGCTATATGGGAGAGATGGAGAAAAATAAGACTGAGAAAACATGATCAACTATTAAGAAGGACAGGCAATGTGTAGGCATCGTTGTAGAGTACTGATCAGTTTAACTTTAACCTCTTGTTGGCTGCATGGCTGCAAGAAGTTGTCTTGCATTAATAATGTAGATGGTGATATATGAGATGGTTTGTATCTTGACTTCACATGTTAAGGTTCATGAAGCTCTCTACTGATTGTACATCCTAACATTAAGTGCACATAGTTATGCTCAATTATGTATTTGTTACTTGAACTCCTTTCCTTTCTACTCCAAACCACCGAACAGGAACATAAGGGTGGGTCAATGTAGTAATGCATCTGTACATCTTTATGCCGATGATACTATTGTATATTGTTGTGCAAGCACTGTTGCCTTGGCATTTAAACATCTACAGTCTGCATTTGACACCAATCAGTTGCACTTGTTCCGTCTTAGACTAATGTTTAATGCAGACAAAACCAAGGCAATGTTGTTTTCTAACCACTACATTGTTTCGTACATTAACGCCCCAGCTCACTCTCTTTGTCTGTTGGACGCCGTCTATCATGGAGCACTGAGATTCATAACTGGTAGTAAACACCAGTGTACTCTGTATTCTTTAGTCAACTGGTGATCGTTCTGCACTGGTATAACTTAATTTAGAACTCCATCCTTGGACTGCTGCTCACTTTTTTATCCACTTGTCACATAAACAGTGCTGCCACAGCCTATGCTCCCAGGGCTTCATCACTCTCTCCATCCCCTCAGTCCGTACAGAATTTAGTAAAAAGGTTCTCTCCTACTCCGCTCCCTCAAACTGGAAGACACTGCAGCAGGAACAGAAGCTGTCCAGCATGAGACCCTAAGAGAATCTGACAAGAGACCCTCTGTAGGGAATTGCTCTTGTAAAATGTATTTAAGATCTGACAACCACTTTGGCACTTTTATGCTATGTATTATATTTTGTTTCTGTATTGGATGTTGTGTATGTCTCTAACTGTGCATTATATTGCTACTGTTCTGAGAGGAGCTTTCATAGTCTCTCTTTTCTAATCTGGGTACAGTTTGAGCAGTGCGGGCTGTTTTCCATTGCCATCTAGTGGTAATATCGCATAGACACATAGACGCATGTCTTCTCAAAGCAATTTCAAAGAAACATACAAGGGAAGGGAAATGCCAAGAAAACACACAACTGAACCATATATAAAAGAATTTTGATAAGATGTAGACTGCAGATCTCTGTAAGAAATAAAAAGTTTGGGATACATTTGGTAACATAAAAAAGTAAACTGCCCTGTGGCTGTTTTTTCAATAACAGACACAATTTTCAGCTAAATGCCTTTAATTAAAAAGAAAAATATTTGAGACATATTAAGTCAGATGCTGCCTTTGAACTAGATAGAGAGACAGAAATCCACAGTCTAATGTGTACGGTTGAGTGGCATTTAGCCAGGAGCTATTATTTCATAACCGAGCTCTCGGAGGCCAAATGTCTAAATAAACTGTAAATAGAGACTCTAAAGCATGATAATCTTTGTGTACATCTCTGAAAAGTGTGTGTGTTGGTGAATATCTGTGTGATTGCCCTAAGGCCATAATATCAGTGTGTGAGAAAGTATAGCATATGTCATAAGACAGCAAACATAAAAAGGAATTCAGCAATTTATACCAGTTTATTTGTACTTGTATCCATATGTTGGTAACTAAATCTTAGTATCTACACAAATGATGACTGCGTACGCTGTAGAAACACACAGTTTTACATGTAATTTACTCTGGTGCTGTTATTTAATTTAATAAAATACTTAGTTTTAATTAAATAAATTCTAGGATTTATAAATCAAAATGTATCTCACCTGGTAAATGTTCTCAACTAACCACCAATAAACTAAAGAGCATCTCAAGTGATAATCAACTTTCTATTGACCATCAGCTACAGAGAAACACATTTCTACTCATATAAAACATAACCAGGACTTCTTCATTTATCCTAATCTTTGCTAGATTTTTATGTGCCTAATAAGCATGGGGCAACATGATCATTCCGATTCCTTTCCCATTCCTTATATTTTGTTAAGAAATTAATGTTTTTATCTCAATCTCCATGTTCTTTAGTTTGGAAACCATAGTATTTCCACACAACTGATTTAACTTTTTTTTTTTTAGAGGGATGCAATGGACAAGCTAAGCCTTCAGCCATGGTGACAGGGTTAGGAATTTGGAATGATTGGAAAAATGCCGGCTACCACCTTGTGGCAAATCATTATAAACCATGAATAATTACATTTTCAACCAAACTTGTTTTAGTGAGTGATTTTCTTGATTAATCGATTAATTGTTTAGTCTGTAAAATGTCAGAAAGCTACTTCCAAGAGCCTACGGTGACATATTTAAATCATAGTTTAAACCCAACAATATTCGACTGACTATCAAAGAATATGAAGGAAACCAACAAATATTCACATTTGAGAAGCTGGAACCACAGATTTCTTTTGCTACTTTTGCTTTAAAAAAACGACTTAAAGAGGTCCAGTGTGTAAGATTTAGTGGCATGTAGTGATGTAGTTGCAGATTGCAACTCATTCGCTTCACCCTCTCTTTCAAAGCTCGAGGGAGAAACTATGGTGGCGGCAAAATGCGACAATCTAGAGCCAATGTTTGGATTGCCCGTTCTGGTCTACTGTAGAAACAAAGCAGTTCAACATGGCAGCCACCACAGAATGCAGAAACAGCTCATTCTAAGGTAACGAAAACACAACGATTCTTATTTTCAAGTGAATATACACATGAAAACATAGCGATGCATATTATATTCCATTTCAACCACCCTAAATATTACACACTAGATCTTAAAAGAGGAATTGATCATCAAAGTTAATGCCGATTAATTTGCTGTTGTGATTGATTCATTTTCTCATTATTTCAGCTCTAAATTTGCATAGATTCACTTTACAACTAAATCACAAGACATTTCTTTAACATTAATGGCCAGTGAACTGAAGAAAAGGTCCTATTATAATGGATTGTGTATAGGTCACAGGTGTAACTAATAACATTGATGATGATGCTGTTACAGTAGGTGTCCGATTTGAGTGGGTCAAAAAGCACAATATGAGGACCCTGAAACATTTGTTCATGTAAAAGGAAGGCAGCCATCGTTAGTTATTTATCTCACCTGTGATTTTCCTGGTATGAAACGTCTAAATGTCATCGCAAAAACGACAAGGGAATATTTTCAAAGTGTGGAAAATAGAGGAGAAAATAGTGTAGGTGCTACCGATGCTGATAATGGGGTGACGACAGGGTCGGACAACTGATCCCTGCAAGAAGATGAACACTTTTCTACAACCTCAAAGCACATGTTTCTATATAAGAGTCAGCCCAAATCCTAAAATGTTACATGATAGAGTGACTTCCAGAGATCAGCATCAGGATGAGTGGACTAACATTTATCTTGACCTAGTCTCTCACCATCTCTTTGAAGGCGTTCTCTATGGCTCCTATCACCAGGCTCTCATGCTGGACCTTCTTCTCAGTAAAAAAGCGTGGCGGAGGAGGGGTGCTGCTCGGGGAACCCGGCATACCAGAGGCCCCGCGCAGCGATGCGGCACGGGTCAGGGCTCGGTGAGGGCCTGGGGTGTTTCCCTGGAGGTAGGGGTTGTTTTCGGGCTCCTCGCCCAGGACGGTCGGGGGTAGGGAGGCTAGGTTGCGTAGGATCTCGATAACGGCCTGGAGCTGGCAGGCGATGTGGTGCTGCAGTAGGCGAGAGGCGACAACTGCTGCCCCTGAACCAGCGTGTCCGTCAAACAAGGCCCAGTAGTGGAACACCAGTCCCTCACTGTCCTGCAGACACATACAAAAAGGAGTTCACATCAAGTTCAATAAATAGTTATAAATGAACACATTCAACCACACAATCCTGACAAAACTATCTGTCACTGTAACATTATTTATTATAAAGCCAAATTCACCAGTGGGATATGAATTAGAGGGATGCTCTGAAGTCAGTAGGAGTTTGAATGTATGTGGAGTCTGGTTTGAGCCATAGAAATCATTACAGTATTCTCTATTCCAGTGGAAACAGGGCGTCAATGGAAAATATTTTTTAATCGTAAGTCACTCCCTTAGATATGACTAAAAATGATCTGATTTCAAAACGGATGTGACAGTGTGAACACAAAAAGGATACGGCCTTTTTCATTTTGTAGTAACGACCTGATTGTGACCTGATAGCAAAGCAATAGTAGTCCAAATGGAATTTACCCAAAACAAATAAGTCATAACTCAAGCAACTCATTCTAAATTAATGTCATTTGTTTGTGGATACTTAAATAAAGGCTAAATGACTAATACTGCTGGTTTGACTGTGTAGTATGTGTGAGTCATCTCTGGGAGGAGAGGCTCAGGAGAAACATCATGACTCATCCTGTCCAGTAGTGCGTGGTAGCCGCAGAGGTCACTTCTCTCCTCACTTCTCCCTCTTATACCTATGTCAGGTTTGTGCCATCACACACTCTGCTTGGTATTACCTGACCTTGAATACACATTCTCTGTCCAATAAAGTCAGATAAATCTCGCAATCAGCGATCCTTACAAAACAAAGTGTAAAGTTCAGTTTGTCCGTAGATATAGAGTGCCTTTTTCCAGACTAAGGTCACGCTACCAAAACATTAGGCTTCTATCTGATTTGAAGAGGTCCAAATCAGAATGATTCCAATAGTTTCCATGTGGTTTGTAGCTGTTGACACAGTTATGAATGTTTTTTTTTTACTTGAGTCACATATGAGCGTAAAAATCTGATTTGGAACAGCTGCAGCTTGAACGTGCCCATAAACAGCTCCACATCTACAGTACTTGATATGAACATGCACTCTAATGGCTCACCACTGAGTAGCTCCACTAGTTAAGTCACTGCTTCCTGCATTGTTCATGAATGCATATTGTTTGTTTGTGCATAGCGTGTATGTGTGTATTGGTGTTTTCTTACCTCTCCCAGCTTGCCATGCTCCATGCGGAGCCCCAGGCCCTCTCCGTTGGGCAGGGAGTTGCGTCTCTTGGCCGTGGGGGTCTTGCTGGGAGTGGAGGGAGGGCAGTAGCTCATTGGCCTCCTTCTCGCTACGACCACCTCGCAGCAGGCCTGGTCCTCATTCAGTGCACTCTTACCAGCATTAATAACCCTGAAACAGCGAAATTTGTATATAGTCATCCAGTGGTCCTGTTATATAAAAATCACATTTGGCAACAGCCTTTCGGCATTCATTTTTTTTCTCCACCTAAAATTTTGCTACAAGCAACAGATGCACCACCATCACTGATTTCCCAGTCTGACAGCTGTGGTCTGTTGAATGAAAGCCGGCATCAGATGCTTTTTGTTGGATGAAGCGGTACTGCAGTCTTTCATGGTTATTATGGCTCACTGCAGGATCACAACAATTAGTCCGAGCCACAGCCTGAGGTTTTTATCTGCAAACCCAGGGAAGCAGCGGGCTTTGTACGTTTCATTTTCCTGATGAAGATCAAACGGGAGGGCTTGTTTGTGGTACTGCTCGGCTGCGAGTGTCTTGATGAATCGGGACAGTCGCTTCTGGGTGAATTGCAAGTCTTTGTTTGTGTGCGACTGTACATACATGCCCAAAGCTGTCTGTGTGTTATCTTATTCGTCTTAACCAGGCAGACCACAGAGAGAGATGGGAGCAGGAATAAATGTAACCCAGTAACAATTAAGGATAGCCACAGAATAAGTGTGGTTTGCATAGAAGGAAAACATCTCTCTATTTCCTCTTTTTTTTCAGATTCCAGCATTTGACAACAATTTTTAAATCACTTCTGTCCGTCTTTATTTGTGCCGTCGTCACAATCAGTACAAGACAGTACCGGAAATACACTGTGTGCACAATTATTAGGCAAGTTGTATTTTTGAGGATTAATTTTATTATTGAACAACTACAGTGCTCTCGGTCAATCCAGAACCTAAACCTGAATGTTTAAGAAAGTAAAAGTGAGGTTTTGTCTTTCTTAAGAGAATATATATATATATATATATATATATATATATATATATATATATATATATATATATATATATTATATATATATATATATATATATATATATATATGTGCACAATTATTAGGCAACTATTAGTGTGCAGAATTATTATGCAACTAAATGAAAAAGTAACATTTTCCCATCTCACTTGTTTATTTTCATCTGTTAAAGTGAGAATAATAAATCAACTCAAAATTTACAAATAAACATTTCTGACATGTCAAAAAGAATAATCGGTGACCAATATAGCCACCCTTCTTTTCAATAACTGTCACAAGCCTTCCATTCATGGAGTCTGTCAGTTTCTTGATCTGTTGACAATCAACTTTTTGTGCAGCAGCAACCACAGCCTCGCAGACACTGTTCAGAGAGGTGTACTGTTTTCCTTCACTGTAAACCTCCCGTTTAAGCAGGGCCCACAGGTTCTCAATAGGGTTTAGGTCAGGTGAGGAAGGGGAGCCATGTCTTTATTTTTTCATCCTTAAGGCCTTTACTGGCTAGCCATGCAGTGGAGTACTTTGATGCATGTGATGGAGCATTGTCCGGCATAAAAATCATGGTCTTCTTGAAAGATGCCGACTTTTTCCTGTACCACTGCTTGAAGAAAGTGTCTTCTAAAAACTGGCAGTAGGTTTGGGAGTTGATTTTGAGGCCATCTTCAACCAGAAAAAGGTCCAACTAGCTCATCTTTAATAATACCAGCCCATACCAGTACCCCACCCCCACCTTGCTGGCGTCTGAGTCAAAGTGGAGCTCTGTGTCCGTTACTGATCCAGCCACGGGCCCATCCATCTGGTCCATCAAGAGTCACTCTTATCTCATCAGTCCAAACAACCTTAAAAATAAAATATAATAAAAATCTGTCTTCAGATATTTCTTGGCCCAGTCTTGACGTTTCAACTTGTGTGTTTTGTTCAGTGGTGGTCGGGTTTCAGCCTTCCTTACCTTGGCCATGTCTCTAAGCACTGAACACCTTGTACTTCTGGGCACTCCGGGTAGGTTGCAGTTGTGGAATATGGCAGCACTGGAGGATAATGGGTTCCTGGTAGCTTCACGTTTGATTCTTCTCAAATCTTTGGCAGTTGATTTGCGTCTTTTTTTCTCAATACGTTTCTTGTGACCCTGTTGGCTATTTGCAACAAAACGTTTGATGGTTCTGTGGTCACGCCCCAATATCTTAGCAATTTCAAGAGTGCTGCATCCCTCTGAAAGACTTTTTACAATTTTTGACTTTTCAGAGTCCATTAAATCTCTTTTTTGGCCCATTTTGCCTGAGGAAGAGAAGCTGTCTAATAATTATGCACACCTTGATATAGAGTGTTGATCTCCTTAGGCCACACCCTCACTCATTACGCAAATACACATCACCTGGTATGCTTAAATCCAATAAGCACTCAAGTTTATACAGCTTGAAGTTGGAAAATATGCATAAAAATTATGATATGGCCAAAATACTCACTTGCCTAATAATTGTGCACACAGTGTATGAGCAGGGCAGTGGTCATTAAGCTTTGCCACGTTAGCATGCTGACATTAAAGCACCACCCTGAGAGGCGCTGGCAGGGCTGTAGACTCTAAATTACCGTAAATTGTACCATGTAATTCCCATTGCTAGATCCCGCCCAAAATACCAAGAACAAAACCTTGATGCCCGCAATGTTAGCAATGGCCCTGACTGTACAAGTCATCCATTACTTAAGAAATTTGTTCACACAGATGCAACATTTTAAAGACGTAAAGTAAAAATGTGTCTTTTATTGGCTCAAAGGTCACTAAACCTGCTGAATAACAGCTAATTATAGCACTTGGGCTACCGATAAATAGTGAAAAAAGAAGGTTGTGGAGACAGCTCCAATGAGATTGGCAAGTGAGGCAGACATCTCTGGAGGGTGTTATGAGGGTGTGTGTGTGTGTGTGTGTGTGTGTGTGTGTGAGAGAATTGAAAAATTGGCCTATTTATAGACAGAGACTCTGGTTCTTTTGCCTGGTTCTCTGCCTCAAACTCTAGATAGAAAAAGACAGATAGAGACCCTTAGCGTTCACATTTATCATATTTATGTACACATATGCATTTCATATTGATTGATTGATTGTTGTTCAAATTTTTCATTGGCACCCAAAGGTTATGCTAAATACTTAGCTATGGCTAATGCAAATATACTTGAATAAAGCAATTTTGAATTTGAGAGAGACTGAGGGAGAGAAAGAGTGAGTAGGACAAAGAGATATTGTCTTAAAAGCCTCGTGTAGCTGTCCACTGCACCTGTGGGGATACTCTCCGGGTCTCAAGAAAGATAAGGAGACGGCTGAGGAAGGGTGCAGAAAGAATGACTCAGTCTTCTTCATAATCTAGGATGCAGATTCTTGCTTTTTAAACTACATTCAGACTATTCGTCATTAGTCTCTGCTGGGATTGTCGAACCGTAGGAATCTTCTGTACAATGATATTTAACCCAAACTATACATGTTTACACACTGATAACTATAAATGGCAACAACAGGAAAGAAAGTGCACAGGGTTGCCATGTTAGTATGGCGTGGTATGGAGGGCGCTCTTGAGCTGAAACTGACCCTACTTTGGTTTTAATGTGTCATTCACCATGCATGCATTATAAAATCAATTACATCCAGAGGGCTGGACTTCCCACTGATTACTCAGCTCTGCTTTCAAACCTAATATATGTTACCACTGCACCCACAATCACAGTAGAAAATGCCCTCAGAGTTATTACGGTCATAAAACACTCTGACACATCGACCGCTTTTGAGCTTGTTGATACACAGAAGTCCAGGAAGTCTGTCTGCTCTGTGTAATCTGCTGTCAACAAACACAGTAATGTGATGACCGTGTGTGTGTGTGTGTGTGTGTGTGTGTGTGTGTGTGTGTGTGTGTTATGATCGTGTCCTGCTGATTTTACAACTCTGAATGTTGCTCTCTAGCAAAAACAATCATCCTTCATGACTGTAGTGCATTTAATAGGTTAAATCAATAGTGCATCACTCTGTGTTATTTCATGGTAGGTGCAGCTGCTGCTGTGTATGGTTCAAAGTACTCTTGCATCTAATTTGTCGTCATTTTGCCATTTGTAGGAACAATGATAGTCATTTCGTTTCCTTGCCAATCAAATTTTTGTTCCATTCTGAACAATTAGCTTTCCTCCCATTAGGAACAAAACCTAATTTCCCCCTCCATTGTCAAACATCTAATGCCCCCTTTGTTTCTCTACCCTCAGCAACAGATTCTGGGCCAGACATTGGCCCCCGAGGATGAGATAATTATTTGGCGAAGCACAATGGTTCATAGCTTTGCCTCTGTTTAACTCGGAACATCAAAGGAGCAATGAGAGAAAAAGAGCTACGAGTTAAATACTAAAACAGCCTTTCAGAAAGTCCAAATTTAGTTGTTTTTCTTGAGGGTTTTGGTCATGATTGCAATACCACCTGAATATATGAGATAAGATAAATACAACTGTAAAATTGTGTGCATATGGGATGTAGTAATTGATGGGTTTGATATATCCTTTAATATGTAGCTCTAGTTGAACTAAAAACAGTGGAAAATCTATGTTTGAAACAATGGGTCCTTGGTTTCTTACTCAAAAGCAACCTCTCGTTTCTAGCCTGCGATCATCAAATTTACCGGCTGAAACAACTCTTGTTGCCAGCTGATTTCATTAGCTGTAGCTAACTAGCTAATTAAACTAATGATTCCACTTGACTCGATTTAAACAAGAACACCGTCAAAGGGTAACTAAGCACTTGATGGCTGCAAACACGATATCATGCTGAAAGACTGTGGTTAAAGCTGTGCATCCCAGACAAAGAGTCAGAATCCTGACCAGTTTTTGATCCATATGCTGTAGAAGATACTGAAATTCTGGCATTGCAGTGCAGAGCTAGTCCTATAGTCCTAGTAAATATAAGCACAATAATGATAAGTTGTAAGCATCAGACTATTGTTTCATTCAAGCTGTTATTAGCTTAAATACTGAGACAGGCATGGCAGAGGTTAGATTGATGCTATATTGTTTGGATTTTCAAGCATTTTACTGTTATAAAGAGAAAAAAGGTGTTTAATGAACATAAGGTAACAAGCTGCTAGCGTTCCTCTTAACCCTAAAGTAGTGCATCCAGGACCAGCTCATACACAATGCTATATCGGCCTATATGGAGGAGCTTCACAGGCTAGTTACTGCTGCTAAGCTATGATTGGGCAATCGATGAATTATGAGCACTACGACTAAAGATTTGACTAAATGGCTTTAAACTGTCTGGGATTTACCTTTATTCCAGAAAGAAATTAAGAGCCAACATGGCTGCTGTAATGACAACACGGAAGGCTTTAATTACAGATAAATGCTGACACGAGCTGAACTCATTAACCACACCGGTCCCATAGAGACACCGCACGCCTGCTCTGAGTATCAGTGGTTACTCTGTATGTGTGTGTTAAAGAGAGAGAGAGAGAAATATTTTTGAATATTCCAATTATAATCGGCACAGAAATGGCATGTGTCGGTATGACGCATTTCTACTAGCAATTCAGTATGATGCACCACCTTGCTTAAGGAGGCACACATATAATGATATATATGTATCATAAAGGAGGTAGATTCACAGATATCAGACAATGGTTCATTACTAGTATCAGTGATTCTAGCACAGCATCTCCAGTGGCATCCTGTTCTTAGATTTGTTCCTTGGTAACTACTCCAGATTATCTTACTGGGGAATGTAAACCCCACACATTACTGATGCCAGGGTGGGGTGGAGAGAGGGTGCAAGCAAACATAGCGGATGCACAGCTGATCAAGTGAGACTGTCACTAAAAGACGTTTGAGCTGGCTTTTATTTTGACATCTTTTCCACAGTGTTATACAAATGTCATCATATCATGTATTCTGTGTCAGGAGGAAGCTGTGCTGGAGGTTTAATGTGTCTATCACGTATTGTTTCTGAGATACTGTTCATTCAAAAGAATGCAACAGACACACACAATGGGATGTCTACTGTGTACAATAGTGGTGATCTAATAACTGAAGACACACTTGCTCAGAAACTGACTGCTGGCTTTTTCTCTGTGTTACAATTTGATTTTGTGCTTCCTTCTCAGCAGCAAACCTCAGCATCCTGGGTTTCTCAAAGCTTTTATATAAGATTTGTGGAGGAGTGGCTGTGCAAACTGCTGTGTAAAGTGTGACATGATTACAAGAGCACAGATGGTTCTCTGCTGTACTATCTAGATGCTGACAGAGGCAGCAATGACAGCAACAAACTCCATCACATAGCTGCATTTAAAACCAGTCAGCGGTCTGGAGCCAGAATGTGAGGTTGCATCTTTTTTTTTGCAACTGGTTTGCTTCAGTATATCTCGAGGCTATTAACATGCCAGACAAAACTAGAAACCCAGTCCTATGTGCTGCTGCCTCTGGAAGGTGCATCATCCTCTTGCATGTCAAAAAACCGGCTTGGGCTGCATGCTATGTAAATTTGATACAAAGCGTGGGGTGAGTGCAATGCAACAGGATGGATCCAAAGCCATGTTGGAGAGGGATGTAGGTCACAACAACAGGTGCAGTGCTTTCCACTTGTCTGAGACCTGGGAGCTATACCTGCCCGAGAAGGAGCAGTGGTCACCTGGAAGCACTTGGGGCCTCCACAACACTCAGATGCTTTATTTTATTTAATGCAACTGTGATGCCACTCTCCAAAAAGAGCCGCTTTGTGAACAGCTGCCGTCGGGTTACTTACTCAGCGTATCCGGTGGCCCACGGTAATCTCCTAGTTTCCTTCAGGATGAGGATGGGCCGAGCTATGTGGTCCGCGGAGCACTCGATCTCATCCGGGGACAGTCCAAGGAACTGAGGTCTCATATATGGGAATTTCAGCGGCAGCTCGGAACCAGTGTTGCCCCCTCCGCCGGAGCTGCCCCCGGCCATGATTCCACCCATGAACCCGGCCACGGCGGACTTGACCCGGGTGAGCATGTTGGTGGCGCGTCGCGGCGGGGCGTCCGTCGGCCGGTGCGCGGCGCCGCGGCTCCCTTTCCCAGGATTGCCCCCCAGCTCGGCCGCGCTGCTCGACGACAGGGTCGGTGGAGAATAAAAGAGGAGGAGGAGGAGGAGGAGGAGGAAGAGGAGGAGACCCTCAGATGGTTAAAGCTTCATTCATTCGGAGCGCAGACAGCAGCCGGGGAGGAGGATGGAAACAGCAATGATGTTTTAGGTAAAACCCTGCACACCCCCATGGAGAGTCATTGATAACAGCTCGGCCGTCGTGAACGCGGAAATACACAGACGATTACGAGTCACGTGACGCAACCGTGGACGCACACTGCAAAAAATGCCCATGCCATAAATGGTACCCATGCTTACGTCTGCGTATACATGCAATTTTACTTTTATTTTAACTTCGCGTTTAGTAGCCCGTCATAAATAAGCAGTGATGTGAGATTTTTCTTTTTTTCCCCTGCAGGATAATTGCTAAACAAATATTCAGGGATCGAATCCAGCAGCAGGAGGACGCATGGTTTATAAAAACTGTTAACCACTTCACTGCCAACAAGCGAAATGATATTTAACTTATTTATACAAAACAGGATTTTGAGGGTGGCTGGGTAAATGACTTGAGGTGAGACTGATATTTTTTTGCAGTGCATGATGAGCACAGATTGATCATTCTTACAGTGTAGGATGAGCAGCTTACAGCGGCTGACAGCAGGTTAAAGGTAAAGTCAGGCCTATAGACATTACACAGGAACTCTCTGAGGACAGGAGGCTCAGGAAAGAAACATATTCCTTTAAATAAGCGCTGTCAGTGCTGAGAATGAGGTACATTTCCAAAAACGAAAACGACACGGCAACACAATTACAGTGTGTAATGTCTAGTCCATTAATCTGTGGTGACACCCTGAGGGCGTCTCCAGCCCACTTGCAGTCATTTCACTGTATAAATACAGAACGTGGGATAAAGCTCACCCGTGTGGTGTGTAGAAAAAACACATTACTCAAAATATGGACTACAGAGAGCGCAAATATCATTTCTAATCATTTCGTTCGATGGCTACACGTATTTTATCTACCGAAAGTGAAGGACTTCAATCATATACACACAACCAAGGGGGGCATTATTGGTAAGTATTACATTTACACTGACATGTAATACGATGAAACGGATTAGTTAAAAAATACTTTTATTCTTAAAATCTATTATTATTAGGGGGAGTGGGGTAAGATGAGCCATTTTTCATATTTAGGATCACTACATCAAGGCAATCATAGTTTTGTCGCTAACTAATATATCTGCATATATTTTAGGATGTTGTGCATCCCTTCAAACAAACAGAATGAGTGTAAACATAAATGATTTGATAATATAGCTTGTCCAAAAAAGGTGGCTCAACTTACCCCGTGTATGGGGTAAATTGAGCATAGGAGCGGGGTAAGTTGAGCCATAACCCAGAAAACTTACCCCAGAGCTACCATTTGACTTTATTAGTCCCCACAGCTAAAATGCTGCACTTTTATGCTACGTTTATGAACTCATGTTGTAGCTCATAGATACCACAATTGATGTATAAAACAAATTTAAAATTATCTATTTTGGTCTAAACACAATTCTCCTGAAACTTATGATAGACTAAATTCACTTTCAAGACTGAAAAATGATTAAGACTAAATTCACTTTCAAGAGTGAAAAATGATTAAGAACCACCCATGTGGTTCTTACATTCACAGACTCCATGAAATGATGCCTTCCTCCTGAATATTTGGTCACATGATCAATGTTTTTTACTATTTTCTAGCAACAAGGGGTGGCTCAACTTACCCTTTGGCTCAACTTACCCCACTCTCCCCTATTATTATTCTTATTCTTATTCTTATTCTTATTATTATTGTTGTTATTATTATTATTATTATTATTATTATTGTTGTTATTATTATTATTATTATTATTATTATTATTATTATTTGAATAGGGCAAAAACAACGCCCAAGATACAACTTCTATACTAGTTTTGAGGAATCTAGTGGACTTACTGGCTGGAAAATCCCTCCAATGTAGCTATATGACTGCAGACTTGATGACTCACTATAAATAAAAACCCAAGAGACTTTAAGTATTATTAATGGCTTACTAACAATTACGTTATTGACGGATGGAAACCCAAAGCAAATATGACAGTGAAAAAACAGCACATACTGTAATACACAGGGAATCCCAGTAGATAGAGCCATTACACAAATGGTGACAGGTGTGAGGTAAGGATTTTCTTTTTTTTTTTTTTTTTTACAGTGTTCAGGGAAGGCTTTAAACCATGTTATAGTGCTGCCCTGTGAAATAGTAACAAAGTCTGTGAAGAAATACTCAGATAAATAGGACTTATGTCAGTATCTCTTAAATGAATCTTCCAGGTCTGGATCATATCAGTGTTGAGACCTCTGATCAGCATTTTCATTGAGGAAGCTTCAAATAATCCTGTTTGTGTGCATCCAGTTGTATCTACGTAATTGATTTCAATTTCAGACAGCCAGGTGTGTGTGGGTGTTTGTATTGTACATGCATTTCCTGTAGTTTTGGCTCAGTGGTTGGCACAACAATGGTGACATAGCTTGATAATCACCACTATTTGGTTCATGTCTAACTGGGCGACAACAAGTGTTGTTGTTTTTTCCGAAGGTGTGTCTTTGTGAGTGAACTCTTTTCCGTTTACATAGTAGAAAGATAAAAATCTATTTTTGCAATCAGGTTTGCTTGTACTGGAACTGAACATGACATTAATTAGTTTACTTGTTCCATTGTCTCACCTTTTTTATGGCCTTGCGCTCTGCTTTATTGCACAAGGCAGCATTTAAAATAAGAGCAGTGCCTGACAGTAAAACACAACTGAAGCTGTTGGCACACACTTAGTATGGGTCTGTGTTCACTCAAGCCATCAACACTATCAAATAAGATCCAAGATTATCTTGGAAGCTATAATCTCTTCCCTGTCTTATTCCCATAATATGAGAGAGCTAGGAAGTTGCCTCAGAACGTTCCTTTTAGTGGTAACCTTTACTGCCTGCTGTATGAGTTGAATGGCGTTTATAGCTTCTTTCAGCTCCTTGTTTTGGTTCACTCTCACTGCTCTCACAGTGTTGTTTTTGTACGCTAACTGCTCAGCACAAACAGGTCATAGACCAAGCTATCGACTATCTGGTGAACATACAGCTTCAGACCCAGATATTTTCCCTCAGGAGTAGAATATCAAAATAAACACTAATGTTGCTAATCTGTGTCCATGTGTAAACACACTTAAAAAATATATTTTTAATAATTTTTCCTCCCAAGTAGCCAAAAAAATAAGAAAAAATAAATTATAATGATTTTTTAAACATATGTATATAACTCCTCATATTTGAATGGTTCAATGGTTCAATGGTTTTACAGTCACTATGTTGGCCATGTAAGGGCATGCAGCTGAAGCAGAAGCCAAGAGGAAGTTTTTTTTACGCCGTCATTGCAGAGTTAAATGTCAGGGACAACTGTTATGATCAACTGATGCCTTTGGGTCAAAACACTTCTGTTGTATCAGTTAAGTACCCAAGTACTTTATTTTCCCCTCCCTTGAATCTCCAGATTCAGCCAACATTTATGATTTTTGCACATACTACTTTTCCCTGTGTCTTTAAAGGAGGTTGAACAGGGTGAACAGAAAATAATGAACATCATGCTTGTATCAAGTTACAGTAGTCTCCCGGACTGAACCGGATTTGTTAATAGCGTTGAAAATGAAGTGCCAGATATGGAATTTCTCTCAATGAATCAATATGACTTGAAGCAATAGTAAAGAAAAATGTAAGTTGTGAAATTTTCCTGTACAGTCTGATACAGACTTACTGCTTGTACTGTTTATGTGTGTGTTTGGTATGTGAGTGGGTTGTGAGTTATATAGTATTATCATTTCCACTTAATTATGGTTCATTGTTTTGACAGCCAAATCAAGTGAAGACTGACTCCAAAACCTATGTTTCTGTCATTTTCCCTACAGGCTCCACCCCCCCACTGAGGAATATTTAAATCCTTGATTTCAGCAGACTGTGTTTCACTTCACTGTGTGTTTGGCTGTGCCCCAGACACACTACACACTGAACATCATCACACTCAGGACAAAACAAACCGGACAGTCTCCCGACCATCCAACTGCAACCTGTCCAGACCAGGCAGTCACACAGCTGACCCTCATCTGACTCTGACACTCAGCCTGGGGGGAAGGAGAAAAGAAGAGGCATATAAAGAACAAGAAAACGTGAAAGAACACAGGACCAGGAGAATGAGCAGTACAAGAAGTCTAATGCTGGCTGTGGTGAAAATGATCTTGTGGGTTGCTTTACTGATGTCTCAGTGTTGTTTGGGTCTCATTGGAGTTGCAGCAGGAAGCACAGGACTGGAGAGGATAGAGAAATGTGCCACCAGATGTTCTCAGGTAAAACTGCATCCTAAAAATATGAAGAAAAAAAAAAAACTCTCAGAAATATAAACTTACAGATAGTCACTGAATTACTAAATATAGTCCTGTTATTAACTGCTGCTAACACTACAGTACAACATCTGTGATTGATTCTACTACTACAACTATTATACAGCTGGAACAAATACTACTAATTCTTCTACACAGTTTTGTTTGACAGGGTGTTTAAGGCAGTAGTATGGATTTTTACTAGCAGGCTCTTCAAACAGTTAAATAAGAATGAAAGTGTTTCTGTGCCCTATTGTAAAATCAATTACTGGAACGTGACACTGTCTCGTGACTCATGTATTGACTCATTTATAGCTACGTTGTTACAGTAGAGATAAAGGGGAGCATACCTACTGAACTGCAAGCATGCATGCTACAGTGCAAGCATCTGCTACTGGGCTCATGTTAAGAGGGCAGATGTCTACCACAGTATTTTCGAATCCCACACAAAGTGCTAACTTAATCATTTACTCAAGCCTAAAGAGGAAACAAAAACAGCTGTAAATAAAGGCAACCCCTTTCTAGTGCTGCATGTTTACTTCTCTCTGGTGAAAAGTTAAGTAATTACATTTACCCAAGTACTTGAGTATTTCCATTTTAGGCAACTTTATTCTTTATAAACCACCATATCTCAGAGGCAAATATTAGTTTTTGTTACTTTTCAGATTACAATGTTTGAGAACCCATAAATGAACACTTCAACCTCAAGGATGAAGTGTTCATTTATGGGTTCTCCTACTTCTTAAGTAAATTAACTATTTAAAAACCCTCACAGCTGAAAAAAGAATTGTCACAAGGCTTAAAACAGGGCAGTTTTTCTCATGACCTTTTAGAGATATGTGCTTCTCACTGTTAAAATTAGTACAACCATAAACAACTACAGCAGTAAAATGCAACAGACACATGAATGCAGCAGTAATATTAATCAAAGGACATCATATATAACAATACAACACTGACAGGGACCATTTTACAGTACAATGGGTACAGTGTATAGTTTTTTTTGCTGATAATCCTTACATAGTTTTACTTATAGGATTTAAATGCAGGAGTTTTACTTACTTTACTTTACAAATAAGGGATTTACTTACTAGTCCATCAACAAGATCTGGTGAGATTTGGTGGGGCGCCACCTTCAGACTTGCATTGCTGGTTCTGCCAGCGGCGTCCCTCTCCTTATACTACGAGTTTGTTTACCATCGAAATGACTTCGAAGCTGTTATATTAAGGTACAAATCTTGCATAGTGTGCCTTTAAAGCCCCAACAAGGAACTGTCATTTTGTGTTGATTCTGGCACCCTATGTGGACAGTAGCGGTAGTGTTTTCACCACCTTGTTTCATTGATTCATTCAAGGGGGAATCCTGCCAAATCTGACCCAGTGCCAAACATAATAAATAACTAGTAAGCAATATCCAATCTTCTGGTGATGGTCTTGTTTGCTTAGATCATACAGGGGCATTGGTATTAAATGTGACTGTTTCATAACCAGTTTAAAACTCCTTTTAGTATGTTACCATTTGAAAACTGAACACACTCTGATTTTAGCTGTAATTTTTTTTCTGTGTTGCAAGTATACAATAAAGACACCATGCTTTCTCACTGACAAGTTTCTACAAGTATATGGTCTCCAAAAAATAAAGCAAGGTCTTGTTGTAGCAGCTGACAACCTCCCAAAAAAACCAACATTTTTTTTTCCAGATATCTGTTAACAGATGTGGGCCGTGTTTACTTTCAAAGCATCATTAATATCGATGAAGTAATGTGAATTACTACATATACTGATGTGAGATACTAGATACTGTTATATGGAAACCTCAGAACAGTAAAGTTTTGTTCAGAAAAACAACTGAGAAACCCCTGAAGGATCTGATGATAAATGACTCCTCCACCTCATACAAGTGAAAACATACTCTATTGCTTTCACTCATCACTGGATACAGAAATAGCAGAGCTCTGAATATCTGGGATAGTTTCTCAGGGCCTATGCTTGATGAATAAACAAAGATGTATTTTAAATTAAGGAAGATGATGATCATAGGCAAATTGACTTTGACAATGGATGCTTTTGCATAATTTGCATATTTATAACGTCATATAAGTTTAGCAAAGGCTCTTGTTGCAACTGCCTAATTACAGCACACAAAGGCTAATTGATTATTATTAGGCAGATTTACCCTTTGCATTTGGCTGCATGGACCACCAAATTGGACCATAACAAACTGCAGCAGAAAATACAACCTGGGTTTTACCTGAAGGAGCAATGAGGATATAAAAAGCTCCTTATTGTGCGGGAATTCCCTGTCGTGGTAGAGGTGCTACCTTTGTTCTCTTTGTTAAGAATTACTTTATTAATGCTGCTCCCACTCAGAAAGATTCACAGAACAGACTTAACACCCTGTTTCACTTGAGTGCTTCTTTTTTCCCTCTTCTCTCCTTGCAGGGCCTTCACTGCAAGACAAAGCCAGGGTGTGAGTATAGACACGCATCGTTGCTACACCACATCTGCACTCATGCATGCACACAGGACATCATTTTGCGCAATAACTCACTTAACACTGTGTTTTGCTCCCACTATTGTCCACATTTAATATCTTATTATGTTATTTTGCCAAAGGAACTCTATTCAGTGTACATAATTGCATGATTGAAAAGTCTTTAAAATCACATAAAACCTCCACATAAACACACATAAATCAAGTTAAAACGTGCCCCACCTATCATAAGGTTTGAGAACCTTTTTAAATGCAAAACTTCCTGACAAGTTATAAAAATAAATACTATTTTTATTCCAACCCTGCAATCCAATGCATCTCTGACAGGTGTGTGGGTGTCAGATTACATCATTTAATTATACTCACTGTGGTATAAAGTACTTGAACATGTGTATTCATTGATCAAAAAGTATGCAAAGATGAATCACAAAGCTGAGCATGACAGACAATGATGGAGGAAATACCTTAGTCTTTTTTTCTCTCAATAATAATAATACAGGCTTAGGCACATTTGGACTGTTGACATAGTAGCACACACCCACTACTGAACTTGAACACAAATGTTTATTGGGAGTATGAGTACACCCATCTGGATCCCAATGAAAGGTGTCTGGCAGTCTTTAGAGAATGGTCTGTGACAAGAATATGTTGTCATCAGTGTCAGTATGTGCCCGGAAGGATAATGTGTGATGTGTATTGTTTTCTGGCCCTGTGTAGATTTGTTTCCTCCTCCATGTCAGAACCCTGCTGAAGGTCTCAATACTTCCTCTGTGTTCCACAACATCAGCCTCTCCACAGTCATGAGGTGTGAGGGGAGGCAGAAGTGCTCACTACACCTCAGAATCAAAACCAAGTTGCAACTTACTGGTATGTAAATGTGATTTACCGGATACTTTTATTAAAAATGCTATTAACTTGCCACTGAGTAGAGACCTGGACTGACTAATTTCAGCTTCATTTGTTGATTCTGTCTTCATCATTCTGGTTGGCACCAGCAAAGTCAAAACCGCTCGCTCCCGCAGGCTTTGCCATTGGATCTGTATCTCAATACAGTCCTTTACCAATGTCCTTTGATTAGCCATTTAGTTGACCTTTCTCCTACAGTGACCATTTTAAACCTAGGTCATCCACATGGTGTAAAACTCTAACAAACAGTTATCGCATAAACTACTAGTTTTGTGATTAGATTAGATTAGATTAGATTCAACTTTATTGTCATTGCACAAATACAAGTACTTGACAACGACAACGAAATGCAGATGACTAATTGAATGACAAGCACTATTTAGTAGGGAAATGTATTTAGTTATTGAAGCTAGATTCTGGTATATATAGTAATGCATTAGTCAGTAACATGTTACAGTAATGTGATTACTTTTCTCAGTCTAAGGGATTCAAATTGACATGTGGTAATTACATTTCTGTTGGGGGTTTGGGGAAGTGGTTAGCCTGCAGCAAACCAAAGAGGAGAAACGTGCCCTGTGGTAACTCCACAACTGTTAAATTTTAATGTTGTGTCTTAGCTGGTTTGCTAGCGTTGGTAACTGATAAGCCAGGAATCAGTCGGGTCTTGTTGAGTTAGCTATTGATGATCAGTAAACACCTCCAAACCGTACACTGGCGGATTATTAGACCACAATGTGTGGTGGGATGGAAGTTGTTTAAAGGCACCTTCGATGGAGTGGTGCTAAGTAACGACAGTAATGTAACTAACTTTTAATAGTTTAATAATGTAATGAGTGATTGATAAAAATTGAAGTAAGTAGCAAGTAACATTCCAAACACTGCCCAGTAGTAGAATCAAAAAAACATATTAGCGGTAACAACGCACACCGCTACCCTAGCCCACATCAAAGGTCTGAACTCTGTGTTTTATAGTCAGATCTACCCCACAGATCTGAACTCTGTCGACATGAGGAAGTTTCAATTCCTCCTCTTTGGTTGTAGTCAAGGCAACACATGACTAGTCATGGCTAGAGTTGGTTATCACTGATTACGCATTTAAAAGTTTACATATTAACAGTGAAGAAAATGTTATTCATAAAAAAAACCCACTTTCCATTATCAAACTTCTGCTTTTGCATAATGAATATGTCAATTGACGTGTTCTGTTCCTGATTCATGCTGAACGCATGCTCTTATAAGGTAACTTATCTAACCTAACCTTTTTTTCCGGATTACCTCCCTATCCGGGCTGGAGTGGGGAAATCCCTGCCATTCCGTTTGAGTCTTTAGTCCGCTCAATAAAATAATAAAATGTGACACACACTGTTCCTTCCTGTATGACAGTGAAATAATGCAGACTCCTAGTGAAAAGCTAGACTGTTTTTTGACTGTGCTGCATGTCTTCATGCCATCTTATGGCTCCTGACTTTGAGATCATTTTCTCCCCAGAGTCCATCCATGGTGTGTCCATCTGCACTGCCACTGCAGGAATGATGGCAAACTGCAGAGTCTTCAGCTTCACAAGAACGTCAAGAGAAAGAATGTCTGGACTGCAGGTACTGGTAACAACATCCCTGGCATCACTGGACATTTAGTTGTGCAGCAAGCAAATGCATAGAAAGAGTTTAACTGATAAAATTACATTGCTAAACCATCAGATTTATAATAATATATCATATTTTTCTGTAACATCTGGAATATTTTGTTCATGCATTTTCTGCATCACTCAGACTAGTATCATGTAATCCTTTTTTGTGCACAACGACATTACAGTAGGTTGATATGGGTCCAAACATGTGAGATCATTTCCATGATAAGATTGCTGAACCGTGGCAGATGTGTCACGGCTTGTGTGTTTCCATTTGCTCTTTTGCTGAAGGTGGAGGTTGAGAATGATTGCACTGACATTTCTCCGAGCCAGCAAGTCAAAGTGACAGTGAAAACTTTGCCGAGCTACTGTGGCATAACCTGGACAGGCACCTATGAAGCTCCGGGTAAGAACTTGTGCGTGTTGTAACATATGTATAACATATATAACACTCACTGATGGGATCATGTCTGTTGACTGTTAACAGGAAATTAAGTAGCTGAAGCTGCAGTGTGTTGGTAAATAATTAAAGTCAATAAATGGTGTAAGCTCATGAGTATTTCCTTGTAACTGATAGAAACAACATAAGACATCCCCAGTTATGTTAAGATTAATGTAAATGATTCATAAGGAGAAAAATGTAGTAGGTGGATATAATTACACGCAGGAGTTATGTCACATTGTTGTAGTCTTTGTCCCCATGGCTATTAGTAATTTAAACACTATTACTCTTTTCCACAGAATGCATCAGTGAAGACTTGCAAAGACATGTCCCACAATGCATCAGTAAGTACAGGACATCAGTCCCTCTGGGAATTTGCAGAAGTTTTTGGGCATTTTTACGGCCTAAATTGCCTGATATCGCGGCAGTGGTCTTCCTATGACTGAGCTGGAAATCTCACACTAACATGTCTCTTTCAGCTGGGAGGCTGTCGTATGATGTAAACCCACAGAGGAAGGAGCTGATTGTCAGTGTGTCAGACATGCTTGAGGATCACAACTACCACATCCGACTGTGCCATAAGAATTTCATCTGCGTTGGCACAGGGGCCAATACACTGGTTAGTCCCTCTTTTGGAAACTCAGAATCAGAATGACTGTGTTGCAAAATATTGAAAATGAAGGGACATTATACACAATTTTGCCCTCATAAAGTAGAGGTTTTGCAAGTGTGCAACAGTTAAATTGAATAAAAAACGTAAACAGCACTATGGGATTTATGTCAAGAGAGACCTGGGCTGCTCTTCCCCCATAGTCCAAAGGCTTGCAAGCTAGGTGAACTGAAAACTTTAAATTGCCTGTCCATTAGTGACAGGATCCACTACCCAGCAACCCCCGTTGGCATAGATGGTGGATGCATGGATTGACTTTGTGCACACCAAAAGTCCTGCCTCTGATGTGGTAATACCATATTTAATTTAAAATCAATTTAAAATAGCCTTCTATGAAAATGAACCACCCTTTCTAAGTATAAGCTTAGATTTTTGGATGTCAGAACGCCCTTTGTTACTTGAAGCTTTACTCATGCTAACCGGTTAGTGATTCATTCGCTTTATATTTGGATTTATATATATATATATATATTAATATAAGTATTTAATCGTCTCATTGTCCCTGCAAATTTTAAGAGAGCAAAGGTGACTATGCCACTAAAGCAGTGCTGATGCATAACTTATACTGAGAAGTATTACTCACTTCATAAAAGAGTAGTCTCAACATGGATGATCGGTTTGAGATGTCTTAAAAACTCACTGTTTGCTTGTGTCAGACTGTCAAAAACACCAACCCATACACATACACACACACGTCAGAAAGAAAGATGGATAAATGTTCTAAAGCTTTGTTTACTTTCCAGATTAAGAAGGAGGAACCCGTAAAGAGCGCTACTCTATCATACTCCCGACCGTTGCCCTGCCTCTGCATTGAGGTAAAGTTTCTGCCAGCATTCCTTATTATCTGTGTCTATTAGTAATCAGTTTCGGAAAAGGGTCTGATACTCATTAAGAAATTCCTCACAGGGATGGTCAGCGGTGATGGATGCTCCCAGAGTCCAGGTCTGCCCCTTCAAAGACCGTGAGTCACCTGTTTGCTATTAGTTAGTTCCTTAATAAACTGAGCTCATGCTGTTGTACTTCAAAACCGATACCATATCATGTTAATAGATTATGACCTCACATGCCCGCAGGTCTCGAGGAACTGTGGTTTGGAATTACTTTTGACCCACTGGAGGAGATGCTTTCATGGGAGCCTGCCTGTCCAGTTACTGTGGTGGTTGCGCTGTGTGATAAAAGAGAGGACGGCGTCTGCGTGGATCTGACTCACACCTCCCAGAATGTTAGCAGAGAAAAGGTACAAGTCTCTGACATGTTGAAGTGGTAGTTGTGTTTACTTTGCAAGGTTTCTGGCTGCTTGTTATGGTGACAAATCACTTGAAGTCTGTGTTTACAAAAGAGGAGGTCTCTTGTCAGGTTGTTTCTCACAGATTAGTTACTTCCCTTTAACTACCCACCTTTATGACTTCCTGAGCGTTAATACCTACGTGTCAGGAGTTGTAACACGTCATGATGCTATTTGAGGATCTGACTGCGGCTCATGATGTCAGCTGTATCAAATTACTCCGCCCACTTCTTCCTCAATGACTGAGCATGCGGTGTACGTAGGACAGAAGTTGTGACGACAGCAGGTGTTTTTTCGGGCTGTAACACTTTGTCAGTCTCATCTTGCACAGATGATGTCAAAGAAAAGTGTTTATGTGTTAAAGTAAACTGTGTAGTATAGCCAGGAATTTAAAACCCCTTCCTTTTTAAAATGATTCAAAGTGACTTTACTAACCTCTTGCTTCAGCTCGTGTCGATGTTGAGTTATGTTGTTATTATAAGTCACCCATATATATATATATATATATCCAAACAGCTGCTGACGTAGTAAAGAGTCAAGAACACCTGGGAGTCCTTAGACGAAACTCAGGCTGTATTTTGATCAGAGAGCGTCAGTGGATTAACCCAGAGGCTGTGTCACTTGAGAAGGGAATTCTCTGTTGATACACAAATAGTCACTGACGCAGAGAATCTCCCCAACTACAAGCTGAATCCAGCTGACCTAAAAAAAAGAAGAAATTAAAGTCTGAGCCCAAAGAAAACATGAGTAGTGTGCGTTAAGCCAGGCTTTTAGAAACAGTAGTTGGAACACTGCTCTGTGGTCTGTCATTAATAACCATTTCATCCCTCTTTGATTTTCAGATAACCTTTACTAAAGTGGATCCACACCCTCAGCTTTGTATGAAGGTAATGATCACTTTTCCCCTCTGGCTCTTAAGGAGTTTCACTGTAGAAAACAATACAGCCAACATTAATCATGTTATTGTTGGGACAGTACCACTTTTTAAATCATGGACTTATCACGTATCTGTATGATTTATGAAGCTAGCGAGGTATTTTCTCTTTGTTATGTGCTGTGCTGCAACTTATGATGCTGCACTCAAATGACTCTGTGTTTGAGGCATAGTTCAACATGTAGGGAAATACACCTATTTGAAGAAGTTAGATGAGAAGATTGACACCGATCTCATTTTTGTACGTTAAATAAGAAGCTACACCCAGCAACTGCTTAAATTAGCTCTGCACAAATACTGGCAACAGGGTTAACGGAGGTTTAGTGCCAAACTTTTCATTGGTCGGGCACAGTAGGCTACTGTAACTTCATAAGTTTGGTTTGAAGCTTTAGATTCTGCAGGAATACATGACAAGTATAGTTAGAAAATTAGTTAGAAAATTGGATGAAAACAATCAAATGCCTCTGTTTTGAAGAATTCTAGTAGCATTTCCTCTACTAAGCCAGTTCATTTCTATATAAAGACACCAACAGTGTGTTATCATGCCTTTACTTTGGTAACTAAAGTGAGAACAAGGGGGAAGCTGTATTCAAATCATCGTCCTTTCCAGCTTATTTGTGCAATGAGTTACCTGGTAACCCAACCACAAAGCAGAAGTACTATTGTCATTTGCAGTGTCACTCATTACTTGTTACTCCCTGCCAACCAGAAAATTGTTAATTGTGTTCCTTCTCCCCAAAATTCAGACTCAATCTGATGCACATTTAGATTCCGGTCTTAGAACAAAGGGTTATATTCATGAGATTTATATGAAAGAGCACTATAAAATATAATTGTTCTATCTTTTTCAGTTCACGACAGGCTCTCAGAACTGGATCAGGTGTCCCTTTGCTGATGCAAGATTCCAAGGTACCAATCAAATCCCACCGCTACATCAATCTGTGGCAGTAAATCTACCAGACTGTCATTTCAGAGCCACATTTAGATTATGATGATGATAATGACAAGCGTATGCAATGTGGTGTTGTAGAATTGGTCATTATAATGATAGCTGTGCAATCATTTCCAGCGTGGCAGGTGGTTGTGACGGAAAAACAAGGTCACGAAGATGTGAAGATGTTGTCACAGATCCCTGCAACCTTTTCCATGGGCCTGTGTGTGAGGTCTGAAGGATCGTGCCAGATCACTGAAACACACACCATGCATGTGGTAGGTATCACACAGATGCTTTGAATTTGGTGTTTTATGTTAGTAATGGAGAACGTTGTCGAACTCATCGTACCAAAATCTATCAAAGGTGTCCAATTAGGCCAGAACATATGATTCACATCATTTAATACTTATCAAACCTTCACTGACCCCTTGTGCCCTGTATGAAAGCATTTGCATGTGTTATATGAAGGAGCTGTTACAACATGCTTGCAATAATTGCACGACAGCTTTTTGTGTATCTGTTTTTTTCTGTAAGCGTTTTATCTAAGGTGTTGTAATCTCAAAGCCTATTGTAATCAACAAAGCAATAAAAGGTAATTACACCTTTAGATTAATGTTTTATAGAAATCACTAGGTATCTGCCAGTACACTGATTTCATAGAATAAAAAGTACAACAACATGTTTTGTTACTCGTTTATGCGTGTAATCTATTTCTTTTGTCTGCTTTTCAGGAGAAACATGAAACTGTTGGCTTAAACCTGGCGGAGGAACTATGTGACTCTTGTCTCCAGGTTTGTTGGTGTAGTTAATACATCCTTTCAGGTAAACGGCATGTTCCTTCACCTTTAGACAGACAATGACTTTGAATACCAACTCGTTTTGTATTTGAATAGGTGAAAAGGCTCGATGTGAAGTTTGCTGCCACAGTCATTCACTGTTTTCAGCAATGCAGTAAGTATGATTTTTTGGGCTACTGCTCCTTAAAAACCAGAGATGAATTTGTCCTTCTCTTCTCTTGTCTTGTTTTCTCTTTTCTTCTCTTCTCTTATTTTTCTGGTCTCATCCTGTGTTGTCGAATCTGGGCCTGTCCTTACTTCACAACCTGAGGTGCCACATTACGGTTTCCAGTAATTCTTCTTTTAAAACATTGTTTGAAGCACTTACAGACCATATGCTTACTGTCACGCAATTTCTAATTGTGTTATTACAAATGTATGGGCCTCTGAAGTTCGCCATAAGTTGTTTCTTGGCATCATTTTAAGAAATAAAAGGATTCTCTGTACTGATATCATTTACTCCACTTAAATTTAGTGTGCAATGACTATAAACATAAATGAATGTTTCATGCTCTGATGAAAGTGAAGCCCATTTTTGTTGCTTTGAGCAACAGTTTCTTTACACATAATTGACAATCAAAACATTGAGAAACTGTATGAAGCTGGAGCCAGTAACCTGTTAGCCTGACTTAGCATGAACACTGAAGACATTCACTAACATATCTGATTTGTTTAATGCGTACAAAAACTGTTGCTACCCTCCATGCTAAGCTAGGTTCAGCTAAATTCTAGTGATCCATGTGATCCTCTCACCATCTCTTGGTTTACTCACACCAGCATGTCAGAGAAGCGCCCACGCCTATTCTATACACTGTAAATTCTCTTCACAGATCCATCATTGCACTCCAGCCGAGCCCCTTGGGACTTGACCTGGGTCATTGTACCAGCTGGTGTTTGTCTCTCTGGCATCATAATTGTCACTCTGGTGCTTCATGTACTGCTAACTGGTAGGTAGAAAATTACACTAGCATGCTCAGGTTTGCAGTATTCTCCTATAGGTTGACATTCTGATATGTAAGCACTTGATTTTGGCCCCGTTCCCGTGTTCACACTACACTCAGTCCCAAGCCTAGTCTGCACACTCTTGCATAAGACTTTAACGTTGCAGACTTTGCTTGAGGAAATAACCACAATAAATAGACTTCTAATGTTGTTATTATTTTCCATTTCTGACAATAGATCCTCCTAAATGTTACAGGATGTAAAAATGCAATACTAAAAGCATCACAATTTACTTTAATTACAAAAAGTAAAAGTATTCATTATGCAGAATGGTCCATTTCAAAATAATATGTATTATATTACTGAACTGTAATTATGAATACACATCATGTCAAAAGTAATTATACAGTGCTGTATAAGGTGATTTTTCATTTGTTACAGTACAAATCATACCAGAATTAACATAGCTGTAGTTTTTGTAGCCTTCCGTATCTTGGGGGAAAGATTTGTGTTTGCAAAGTGTACAGCATTAGCTATTTGATTATACAAAAATGCATGGAGTAGATATGGGCTTTAAGACGTATTTCTTAAGTACCATGCATATATTGGGTTGTGCAAAATGCATGACTAATTTGAATGAAAACCAACCACTGAATTTGTCATTATATAGGTCAGTTTAATCTCATCGTATATGTGTACAGTGACAATAAAGGCATAAAATTCCATTCTTTTCTATTCTATTTCCTCATATGATTCCTGGTTTTCCATTTCAGTGTATCAGAGGAGGAAACAAAAAAGAAATGGGGGCTGTATCTTTGAAAAGCAAACAGGTTAGATTATCACACTTTTCTTTTCATGACCACGCAACATTAGCATTTTCAAATATCTAAAACCTGAATCTACTCCTTTGTTTTGACAGATCCTGCTTGTGAGTGTGAGCGCCCTGCATTTCAAACTCAGCCTGTTCTCCACAGAGGGGTCCTCATACCTGATTCACCACAATGTTGGAACACTGAGAGGGCCAACTTAATCTCTGACTGACCAAAGAGTGTTGCTCCTGTCAAAAGCATTTCTTGCAATGTGCATTAAAAGGCTGTAAAAATGTTACACAAACCAAATAAGTTCTCTGTTCAATGCAGTATACAATGTTGGGACAGACATTTCAAATGTTATGTATGTTATTGTATAGGTAATGGTTATTAAGCTTGTTATAGTTATTGGTTGTTGTTTACGTATGTATTCTGTGTGGTTTTGTCTCTTTGGGTGAATGAGTATTAAGTTAAAGATTCATTCAGCTTGCAGCTAAACAGTCAGTTCTTATTTCTATTTTCAATAAAAAATGCAAAATATTAAAGAAAACCTACAGTGTTTTTTTTCCAAACTGAACCTAAATGCAGGGAAGTAATGATTCACTTCTTTTCAGCATTGTCCGTAATTGCAATTGTTGAGGTTACATTTTCTCATCTTTTTTTCCTTTTCCTACCAAACATTAGTCACATCTTTTAAGATAACTCATAATATTACGTAATATGACAGTTGGAAAATTATCACTGCAAAGAGCTCCATCAAATTGATATATACTATGTGTCATTATATTACATGTGTTTGGGTTTCTTATTGTGTCCACACCCCGTAGATGCCCCGACCAGCTAGGCAACACACCTTTGGTATTTAAGCAAGAAGATTTCCAAGAAACAAGGATTCATAGGAGCTCTCACACCACTTATTTTCACATGTTCAGACAAGCCAGTGTTTGCTCTGCGTTTCCTTTGAAGTGACACCTTACATAATTCTGCTGTTTGGGGGTGAATTATTCCCCATGTACCATTCTTAATACCAGAATACATTTTCCTTTATAAAGATGTATTATATTCTGACAACCCCTCCTGCTTCCCTACTCTGCTTTGCTTGGTCTACTCTCTCTTCCCCTTTCAAGAATAAGCCAGGTAGAGTGGAGGGGGCTGCTGGGCTGCTAAGTCCTTCTCTCTGCCCCTGCTTCTTTGTTTGGTTTGCTTTGCTTTCAGCATACAACATTCTTCACTCATTCATGCACAGACCTACACCACATAATTTAATTTATTTAACTATTTTAATAAATCCTTTTCACTTTTGGTTCAAACCTCATGTGTGTTCTTCCTCCATCTTTGAACTGTGTGGCAGTGCATGAGAATATCAACAAGCTGCTGTCATCAATTTTGTTTATTTATTAGCAACTGCCAAAATGACTTTAAGTACAGGGAAACCTGCCACTTGTACGGTTAATCTATATAATTATCACCCACTTTTGCAGTTTATCTGTCAGTTTTACAATCTGCAGTTTGTACTCTTCTACTGTTTTGGTTCAGTCTCACCGCTCTCACCAACCTTGTTTCAAGCAGCAGCGAGTTCTAATAAACCAACTGTACACAACCTTCCCAGCACAAAACAGACAGACAAAGTTAGTGAATAGTTGATGAATAAGGAGGAGCATTTAGCAGCTGAAGATTCAGATATACATTTCTCAGGAGGTGGGGAAGATCAACACTAGGAGGAGAGCAGAACTATTGGATTTCCATTCATTAGGACACAAACATGCCTCAAGGTGAATAACAATGGGGCCCTGTATCTGCTGACTGTGTAAATATAAAACCAAGACAGAATATTCTCACCATATCAACTGAAAGGTGGATCATATGTAGCAGAAACATTTATTAACATAGGTTTAATTAATACATTTGATGATAATAAATTACAGTCAACCTTGGTGGGAGGGAAGGGTTAGGGAGGGCTTGAGCTACCCCTGAAAACAGCTGAACCCCCAGCAGAACTGGTTGACATCTATATTTCCAGGGGCCTACCACTACACTGAACTGCGCCAAGTGAGGGGTAAGTCTGAGGGTATGGCTAAGGAGCGTGGTCCAGTTAGTAGCTCTCCTAGCCAGCTTAGACAAAGCAGAGAAACTTGTAGAAAGTACAAAGCCACCACTCTTTGCTATGTCCCTAGACCTGAGTTCACTGTTCCCTCTCAAGAGAAATTAAACTCCCCTCTGACCACTATGCAGCTAAATGATAAGCCCCACACAGCCCTGTTAGACACTAGTTGTTACCAGTCCCTTGTTCAGTCTCAGCTTGTTCCTGGGGAGTTGTTGAGTGAGGGAGAAACAGACCCAGTAATCCGTGTCAATGGGCATTAGGAGGAGCCGGCCCCCAATGCTGAGGTTTACATGGAGGCTAAAGGTTTACCTCATGAAAGTTGGTGTTGCCCTACAAATTGCCCTATCCCATCCTCTTAGGGACTGATCTGCCAGTCCTGTATGACCTCATCCATGTGAGCAGGGAAAGGTTTTGTGGTGCAGTTACACGTTCCAAAGCAAAGCAGAGTGCAGTTGCTCCTCTCCCTGATGCACTGCCACCAGTGGGTTCAGTAACACAGCAGACAGAGCCATCCATGACACCTGACACAAGGCCAGTAACAGCACCCATATCCACCAAACACTTAATACTGAATAGTGATGGGAATTCTTTAGAGAACCGGCTCCTTTGGCTCGGCTCACTAAAAAGAGCCGGCTCTTTTGGCTCCCAAGTGGCTCCTCATATTTTTTTGTTGCTTAAATTAATTTATTACCAAATTATGTGTAAAATGAATATCTAATGTAAATACATACATTATATCAAATGTTTAGTATTTATATGGATTTATTAATATACTCAACATGGAACAGAGTGCTACAAAAATAAATTATAAAACACAAAAATAAAGACCCATCTTAATTAGACAAAAAGCTGCTTGATATGAAATGTTTAACTTTGCACAGTCTACACTCTGCCTTTGAACTATAACATTAAAATGTGTCCAAACTTTACTACGTTTCCTGTCACTCATTTTCCTCACCCTTTCCAGTGTGTAGTCTCTGTCTATGTAGCGCCAAGGTCTCTCGCTCTCACGTCTCCCTCCCACCTGTTCACGTGCTTACTGTGCTGTGTGTGTCTGTAACCCCTCCCTCCCCCCTCCTGCTCAGTGTCGATACACAGATGCCACACATCTTGACCAATCATGCAGCTTTAACAGGAAAAAACGTGGAAATCCGGAAAAAAATCCGGATCTGGCTCCCAATCAGGAGCCGGCTCCCGTCGTTCACTTCAAAGAGCCGGCTCTTAGAGCCGGATCGTTCGCGACTGACCCATCACTAATAGTGAAGTTAATGCCTTTCCATGGGGAAAGGTTTGTATGAGAACCCATAGTCACACAGGAGGGCAGATTCGAGATGCAGAGACAGCAAGTTGAGAAACGTATGCTGCAGCAAACAGAGCAGACAGCAAGAGATTTCAACCCTTGAGCTGCAGGGAGGTTCATTACCCTTTGACGTTGCTAAGCAGCAGCGTGAAGATTCTACTCTTGTCAAATGTTTTAAGGAGGCAGAGAAGGATCCTTCTATTACTTCCCTCAGTGAGCAGTAAAACAGGTTTTACTGGCCAGGGACGTACAGGAAAGGACTGAGACAAATGGCTGCCATTTCTTTTGTTTGCATACCGCGATGTCCCCCAGACCTTGATGGGGTTTTTACCTTTTGAGTTATTTTATGCCCACCAGGTCAGAGGTCAGAAGTCCTTTGGATGTGCTCTGTGAGACCTGAGAGAGACCTGCAAGTAGCCATTGCAGACTTTCCACATCAACATGCTCAAGAAATGGCATCCTCGTCCCTTGTTCCACCTCTGGTTTAACTATCTGTTCATCAAGGCTGTGAGGGAGGAACATGACTCAGTAGCGCATTATCTACCAGGTCCAGAGGAGGAACCACAGCTGGACCTGAGCCATCTGTAGGAGGAGAAGAGGAGGGAACTTCTTCAAATCTTGCCCCTGCATCTGTTCCGGGAAACTCCTGGCCGCACAGAGGTTGTCCACCACCACATCACCTTAAAGGATCCAAAGCCCCTATGCCAGCCTGTCTACAAGCTCCCAGAACGGTTGCTGCCAGTGTTGAAGAGGGAGCTAGAGGGAAGAGGGAGGTGATGAGGGAACTGGTAGTTATTGAGTCATCTTCTAGCGAATGGAGCAGCCCAATCATCTTGGTCCCCAAGAAAGATGGAACCCTGAGGTTTTGTTTGGACTTCAGGAAAGTGAATGGCGTCAGTAAGCTGGTCTTGTATCCCATGCCAAGAATTGACGATCTTGTGGAGAGGATTGGGGGTTCAAGCTATGTTAGCACCCTCCACCTGTGCAAGGGCTACTGGCAGGTCCCTCTCACCCAAGAAAGACAGATAGATTGCACTTAGCCATCTTCTGATTTGGACCCAGGAACTGGCAAAGCAGTCCCCGACCAGGTGGGTCAGGTTCCTGGGGGAATGTGCCATGTGTTGTATAGATGAGGGGGAGATTTAGGAGTTGTTTGGGAGATTTGTTGTTTTGAACAGTTTGGGATCTAGTTTACTCCTTTAATATGTGTAGTGACTTTTTTTTTTTATCCACTTTTAATAAATGTATGCTAAAAGTTAATTGATTCCTTAATTATTGCTTCATGGGATAAGAGGAGCTACAGGACTTTTTGAGGATGTTGCTGAGCAGGCCACAGGGATTTTTGGCTGTCAGGGGCCCAAGCTTAAAAGGGGCATAGCCCAGAGCAGAGTCGATTTTTCTTTTTGATACCTTTAGTTATCTTTTTTCCCCAGTTGTTTTTCATTTCTTCGGTTTGGGCCAAGCTGATCCTCACTCTAAAGAAGCTGCACTGAGCCACTGCTGAACCAAAAAAAAGGGAAATAAAGAAATTTGGACTCACTGAACAGTTTCAAGGTCCCTTCCTTCCTGTATTCACTGCTCGACAAACATTACAATACAACTTATTATTTTTTCATAATTTCATGATCTATATTAAAATCTTTAAGCTATGAAATTACATTTAACTGTTTTCATATAATTTTCATTATGTATGTTGCATGTAAAATATTTAAAAATGGCCATTTGCACATTTTCACATTTTTGTGAGACGTTTACTTGTTATTTATAAACTAAACGTATCAGCTTCTGCATTAAATATCATGGTGGGTCTTAAAATAAGCTACAGACCTGAAGGTCCTAAAATCAGGCCCAATGTTATATCACCCCTTTATACATACACACATGTCCTGGGCAGCTTCAGTTGCATCTCATATTAGGAGTATTTTTTCCCCCTTCTGGTCCATTTGTTCCTATTGATACCAGTCCAGTGTTTGGTTGATAAGTCAGATGCAAGGACTCACTTCTGAATTGCTATTATAGTCTGGAAAACAGCCAAATATACTAGTTGCCTGGAATTAGGCAAAACTTGAGCTCCTGACAAAAGTTAATTCATCTCTCCCTTCTTTCCACAATCTCTTCCTCTTCCACTTTACCAGGCATTCTCTGT